TCTGTTTCAGATGCGCTAGCTACTATTAAGTCATCTATGTATGCACTGACGAAAGGTAAGCCATGGAGTACCTGATCTATAAATCTTTGGAATGTTTGAGCAGCATTTGTCAAACCAAACGGCATACGAATAAATTCGAATAGTCCGAAGGGGTAGTGATGGCCGTCTTAGGAACATCATTGGGTTCCACAGGAATGTGATAGTAAGCTCGCACGAGGTCAATCTTGGAAAAAATATTTACTTTTGTCATAGAGTTCATAAAATCATGTATGTGAGGAATTGGATACTTATCAGGGACCGTACGCTTATTCAACGCTCGATAATCACCGCAAGGCCGTATTTCCCCTGATGCTTTTTTAGGTACCATATGCAGGGGTGATGACCATGGGCTTTGGAAGGGCGTATAACTCCCAACTTTAGAAGTTTATCAAATTCCTGTTTTGCTATCTGCAGCTTTTTAGGGTCTAAGCGTCGAGGTTTTGATGAGACTGGAGGACCTTTTGTAAGAATATGGTGCGTCACCGTATGTTTTGGAGAGGACTTCGTGTAATCCGTTTGAGTGAGCTCGGGAAATTCTCGCAGAAGGATATCGTACTCGGAAGTGTTGTTTATTGGAGCTACGACTAAGTTTATTGTTTTTGTCTCCGTAGCGATACCGGTGATAGAAAATTCACCATTACGGCTGACTAGTCTATGGCGACTAGAGTCGACCAATAGTTCGTAGTGTTGAAGGAAATCCATGCCAATGATAGGCGACGATATGTCAGCTATGACGAATTCCCACTGGAATGGTGTATGAAAGCCAATGTCTAGGATCAAAATTCTGGTCCCATATGTAGTAATAGCAGATCTATTTGCCGCTTGTAGTACCAAAGTTGGGTTGGGATGGCGTTTTTCGGAAGGTGTGGGTGGGATCACGCTCACTTCCGCTCCAGTGTCAACCAGAAACTGAGCTCCAGTCTTCCTATCCGTCACTCGAAACAAACGACTGTGTTGTTGTACGCCGGCGACAGCAGTCGTCACTGATCGCCGGCCTTTCCGTTTCCCGATGAAAAGGTTTTAAAGTCGCATGGTAACAAACAACGACGTGCTTTACTGCCAAACTTCTTGTGATACCAGCACGTTCTACTTTTAGACGCAATTCTACTCGTGGTCCTATCACGACTACGGGATCTGCTTCTACAGAACTTCGGTGACCGCGGTTTAACTGCAAAGCCGTCAGTTGTCCTGTAAGTATGTCTATCTTCCTCTCTAAAGCGGCCACTCGGTCGTTTTGCGTTGGCTCAGCAATACTTTCAACCGGTTTAGGCATCCTTTCGTACATACGGTCAGCGATGTCAGCCAACCTGTCAATGTCAATGTCCGCATCTCCGACAGCTAATATCTGCTGAATGCATGAAGGAAGTCTCCGCAGCCAGAGCTGGTAGAATAAACGGTTGTCTACTTTCCTATCTTTCAGCAGACTTTGCATATGTCGCTTAAGTTGTGAAGGTGTTCTGTCACCGAGGCATATGCTACTTAGTAGTTGATCGACAGCCTTCTGGTCAGATAACGAAGTAGCTTTCAGCACCTCCTGCTTCAAAACATCATAAGGTGTGTCTGGGTGGGGCTTTAGTAGTGTCTCCCTTACTTGTTCAGCCACTTCTTCCGGCAAAACAGAGCTTGTGTATCCGAACTTTGTGTTTTGTGAAGTTATATGATTGGCCATGAAGAAATGTTCTAGACGGACAAACCACAATTGCGGGTCGTTAAACTTAAAACAAGGCATAGGAAGATTAATGGCACCCACGGACCCTAAATTCGAAAAGTCTTGATTATGAGAGTTTAAGGACATCAGTACTGGTACAGCAAAAAAAATATTTAAGAACAAGAGCAGGAAAAATACAATAAACAAGTATGTCAATGCCTACCACAAAGCAGCCAAAGAAATTCTCAGTATATATGTATATCCGTATTGTATACAGTCATTAATGACCGGTTGCAGTATTCAATTGCGAGAGTTTAATCACGTCGGGCTCACCAGTTTGTCGAGCTCTGAAATCTGACTCCAAATTTTATATACGTGTCCAGATACACTATCGCCTATTTATAATTCCCGACACTGCTGATCCACCTGCGTCAGACAGCGTAAATATCAGGAGTTAACGCGAAGTATATATCAGGATGTTGTATTAGTCAACGAGCGAGCAAAAAGTCTTTTTCAGTACAACTAAACAAAAAATGTTCAATGAGTTGTTACATACATCAACACAATACAGTGAAATAAAATGCTGCAATGGGACCAGGTTGAGCCAGACTGAAATCGTGACGTACTGCTGAAGCCCTATGTTCCAATGGGAACCCAAGGGACAAATAAATAAATAAATACTATTTTGTATGGATTTAGGTGTAAAGATATCAGTAGGCCATTGGACATTTCTTTCTCTTTACCCTCCGTACTAATTTTTGTCGTTTTGAACACTGCTTAATAGACTACTCGCTCTCAACACTTCATCATGTTTACAACACATGAACAAATAAGATTATCTTTAGTCTTCCTTTGAAATGAGCTCATCATGACGTACATATAAGGGATATTCATTTAGGACTAGAACACCGGAAATATTATAAAACGAAGTTATAGGGAAAAGATTGCCGAAGAGAAATTACAAGGTTAAAAGTTGGAAACAATAATTACAATAAGCTATCATTGATTAATTTCAATACATTTTATACATCACTGGACATTTATAGATTGCCTACGCTATCTTATCATTATGCACGTACTACAAAATACGAAACTCAACTATGCCGTATCTAGCTCATATCCTGTATGCGGATCAAAGTGTTAGAAATGAACTTTTGTTTTATAAAGGAAAACTAATTAAAGATTACACAGCTTGCTGTTATTTATGTATTACGAATCTAATTGTTAATGTGACTGTCTACCGAAGTTATCAATGCATTTTCAGGAAAGTTGTGGATGGAATAAATATTTTTATCTCTAATATGTAATTTCCACTTATTTCATTTCGTTATGTATACACATACTCTACTTCTGTTTAATTGATGCTATATGACATGTTGAAGATTCTGTACAAAACTCCCGAAATATCTTCCAGAATAAAACCATTATTATCAAGCTCCAGGCATGTAACGAAGAAGATTATTTGATAAGCGTTACACGCACATCGCCACTTTTCTTTTTGAAAATGAAGAAATAACGTCGAGTGAATAAGTAGCAACAGTACGGACACCTTACTCACGTAACTGTCTTCCACACTCATCGTAGATATAGCTATATATATTATTCTCCTTTGAATTGTTTCTTCCTCAAACTATCTTATTATCCAGTTGTGATCTGTGAAAGCACTGTTGATGACACGGGAGAATCCTAAATAACCATATCCAACTATGGCTGAGCAGAGGAGCCCACACACATAGAGTAAACAGGAGCGATTGGCAGTGGTAGATGGTTACTTAAACTTAAAGAGGAAAAACATAGACGGTTATCGAGACCAGATAGGATTGCAGAGGAATTTGTTGAAACATTGATTAAAACACTTTAGGAGCAAACAGAAAGGCCTATAGTCTCTCTCTGAATCCCCACTATCCAGTCAAGGACTGGGTGAAATACTGAAGCAAAACTTTAAGGTGACGAGAATCTAAACAAGACTGGAAATAACCTAAAACAGAGGTCAGCAAACATTTGTCCTCATGTAGCAAAGATGGCGGCCTGGGTTTGTCAGCTACAGTGAAATGTCAGCTGTTAAGATAAAAAACCAGCCTGATCATAACGGTGTTTAGTTTACTTTAACAATCACACGATCCCTAAGTGATGTTAATCAGCAACAAAAATGTGTAAACCAAGCAGGTTTCAATCCTTGCCACGGGTTTATTGATGGGATGTTCACCTTCCATCAGACATTGGAAACCAAGCATGCTTGCAGATGCGATATTGAGTACGTTGACCGAACTTCTTCAGCCAATTTTGTTAGTAAAACTACTGTCCTATTATTAACTACTTTACTCAGAGATCTGTATCCGAACACCGGTGTTCGTGCTACAGGTCATCGGCGCCCGCTACGGTTTATGCTTTAGCATTTTTTTTAAATTAAGGGACAGTTCTCATGGAAGTTTCCTTCTATTCATCTGACTTCACAAGCAATGAACTCATCTTAAGAAACTCTTTAGAGTAAGTAGATGACGTAGTCGACTTACGGACAGATGCTGAAGAGATCCAAACTTCTGAACAATTCGAGTGATAAGTAAGAAATTCTCAGGGTGTTGTTCTCCTCTCTTAAGTGTGCATTTTTGCTTTAGAGATAACTGTACCAATAACTAGTTCAACAATAAGGAACGATGTGATGAGTCAGCCAATCTCCTCACTTGGGATATCGCATCAAGTAGCAAGTAAGAAAGAGAAAACAATAGATAGAAATGTAAGCTTTCACCGATTGACGTCGATGGGACATACGCTTAGACAAAGTTTACTCCATTACCCTACGTTAACTGAAGTAAAGTTGGCATAAGTTCATCGACTTTCTAAGTTCTGATCTTAGTCATGTGGTCTACTTGATTTCTTTCCCCGTAACGAAAGACACTGGTGGTCGAAGACTTTAGACGATATAGATCGAAACTAATTGGAGTGGTGCAGATGCATCCACACAACACCTTCACAACTGTGACACGCGATTTCGGTTTTTGTCTTACCCCATCCTCCTTCTTTCTAATGGCTTTACACAACTTTGATTGCTCTTCGTTTCTTATTTCTCTATTTTGTTGGCATTGTCGCAACTAGGACCATTATAGGTAGTAATGGCCAGACTCCAAGTTTATACTGACTGATTGACCACTCAAGTTGCGACTCTGATGGACACAATGAATAAAATGTGAAGGCCAAATGCTATCTTAATGCAACGAACATACTGGCAATTTACATGGCTGTAGTAATATTTCCTCATACAGTAATCGCTTAATACCTTTCGAAAAAGTTATCAAAAATGTCAGAAAGTCTCTTCGGAAAACAAAATAGGTTTTTATTCAATTACAGATAACATATTGTAAGGTACAAAGATGAAAATTTATTTACACAAAATCAAAATTTCATCAAGAATGCAGACGAAGGTAAAGGTCAGCCACAAACCATGCTGTATGACATTTGTATTCACAATTCATCAACCTTATAAAACAACAGAACCAAAGTAAATATATAAATTTAAGTTTTAATTTATGTTAAATGATGATTGAAAAGGGGTTAACTAAGGTTGGTACATTATTCTGTTAACAAGTAAAAATTGGAAAACAGTCATAAAAACCATGTAGGACAGTGATTATTATAGAATCATAATTGTTGAACGATACTTCCAAATAAAGACGAAAAACACCTAATAGCATCTTTAGTAAGCTGACTACAAGTTACATTTAAGATTAAATACATCAGAAATGTTAACACTATACTAAAAAATTGCTCGTGGACAGATTCGCTAAGTTTGGCTGAATATTTCGCCTGAAAATCTGTATATAATATATATTGTTACTGGGTAATGATTGAAGGTGAAATAGAAATCTGGACCGCGGCCGGATTCAAACCAGAGATCACCAGATTTCCGTCCCGATGCTTTACCAACTGGTCTAAGAGGTCCATTTGCTGACCAGATTTTTATTTCACTTCAATCACCAGGAGTTTTGCCTGACTACCATGTAGGTTCGAGCCAAGTTACTACCGCCTGATCGTACTTACACTGGCTGCCTAGTGAGATCGTCATAAATGATAATGTAACGCTTTCCCTCTCTGATTCAGTTAGATTTGGATTGCGATGAGCAGTCCTGATATTACTGATTGAATTTTTAGTTAGATTTAGATGTTATTTCGAACCAAGCGTGCATCGTTAGGATGTTAATGTCGGTAGACTGCAACATAAAACATACTTAGTCTACGTTTGATTACTTAAACAAATAGGGATAACCTCTGATTCACCATAAACAATGTAGTTACAGACAAGTCCAATTTCCTTAGTGAAAACTGCATATCAGCGGAAGAAACCATCATTCACAAAACTACAGTTTAGTCCTATTCCACATACTATTATGGACTATTAAAAGAACTTCTTATCCAGTGAATCTCCGTTTATCGTTTTCTAGTCAACGATTCGTTTCATATCAAACGAAGGACGTTTGGCCACCTCCATATGTACTTATCAATTAAAATTGCTTCTTTCTAAGGAGATAGTTACATCAGGAATACAGTTAAGTCACTTAGCCAACGTATTACCAAACATCTACCTTTATGACTGGTAAAAGAACGGGTTGAATTTATAACAAGCTCTCATCGATAGTTATCACAGTTATAGTTATCCCACCGAACTTTTCCGGTGAATTTCGAAATGGCTTTCTAAACATAGATGAGGCTGCAGAAATTCGAATGAATAATCTAAATCCCTGCACTCAAAAGAAATTTGTATAGACTTTCTCCCTACCCTGGGCAGGGAAAATTTGATGAATGACCTTACACATAGATTTCTAAGTGCTCCTCTCCTTTAATTTTAGTCACGCATATCAACATCACTATTATATTCACATTTAAACTTTATTTATCTACTGCCTACATCCTTCAGTATTACGGAACCCATTATTGTCCTTTCCCAAGCTCTGGTCAAATTTACCTGTCTGAACATCTGTATACACTGTCATGTCATTCTCAAAATTCTCATTACTCTTACTGTTACCACTGGTTTTACTATTCTTAAGTACACAATCTGCATCCTTGTTATCGGTGACTGACAAATTACTTTGCTCGGTTCAGATTTTATATATATGTTGAAAGTGATGTATTTTGGAGCGAAGCCTGAGGAGATCTAACTGGAAACAAGATTGCTCGCTTACATGTCTTGTTGTAAGTAGCTTTAGACTACTTACGTTATGAAGTAGTATAGTTCTTGTTATGCGCTAAGATTCTAACCAAAAGTTCCAAATGATGCAAGTGAAATGTTAGTAGAAGGTGAATACATATCGACTAAGATTCTTTAGAAGTATTTCATACAGAAGCATTCACCCTCAACATAAACAGCTAACTAAGCAGGTATAAGAATATAATCAAAGGAGCGCAACGTAAATAAGACACATACACTTTATTTGTTCAAATACTTACTAAACTCAATCACACACATAAAGGCGAACTTGCTAACAAGTTCTCGAAAAGATAAACACGAAAATTATGAAATTTTAAGTAATGGCTTCAAAATCTGTTTATAGTTGCTGTACAATCCTTCTTTATCCTATTCTAAACATGCATTCTACTTCAATACTGCTTCCATCTATATAGCTCTTCATTTGTATCGTTTTAGGTGAACTGGTAAACTGTTGTTCTACTCGCTTTTTAAAATTAAATAAACAGTCAGTAAAAACTTAGTCTTATATTACAACTTGAAAAAGGGAATAAAACAAACTGAATTTAGAAAACAAACAGATTATCAAACAGTTCAAACAATAAATCTAACTTGGATATCCGGTTAGATAAAGCTGCCAGTTGCTGCAGTTCAGCAGGTGTAATGGACGACTTTAAAGACTCTACACTTTCTTTATGTTGAGACTCAGAGTCATTAGAATCATTGAGGGATGCATTTGGTGATGATTCACTGTACTCATTCAGCTTGGATTGATGTTGCAAGATAAGCGTTTCAATTCGGTAGCGTTGTTCAATTAAACGACTGAAAGAAAATTGTATATCAAATAAAGGAATATCCTATATGTAATTAACTGAGTTTTGTAAAGTCCACAAGTAATACAGTTGAATAAAGTCAAATATGTCTTCAAGTGATTACTGGAATTTGAAACCGAAGACAAGAAGTCAAAAATAACAATTAACCAAGGAAGTTACTAGTGTGTGTGTGAATAGATAAGAAATACAAGCTAAAAATCGGTAACTCCAAACACTGGTTCCTCTTGTCCCACGGACTCCCAATCACCTAGTCTACATCGCCCCACATGGCTCAAACCAACAGTCAGAGACTTCATACATTGGTCCCATGTTTTAGTCTGGCCACCTCGGGCCTTTTTCCAGCCTGGACCTACTTCGGCCAACATTGTGTGACGAGGCAATCGGTGACTAGGTATACGCAGCACTTGTCCCAACCATCTCAATCGATGAAGGTTCATAACCTCGTCAACAGATTTACCTCTACTCCCTAAAACTCTATACCTGACTTCTACATTACTTACGTGATGACACCGCGGAATACAGCCTATACTGCGAAGGCAACGGTGCTCAAACACCTGAAGCCTTTTCATGTCTTCCACCTTCAATGGCCATGTTTCACAGCCATACAGTAGAACAGACCGGACTGCTGTGCAGTACACGCGACCCTTAATAGACAAACGGAAAAGTACTGGCACACAATGTGTATTTAGCGTTAGTCCAGTCAAATCAGCTTCTGAACGATAACACCAACCAACAGTTTATTCTTCGTAGTGAACATCAGTTCTTAAATTCTAAAACAAGTATTAAGTACTTCCAAAAAACAATCAGTGAAATATTCATTCATCTTGCAAAAACCGCCCTAGAGTCAAATACGGAAATGTGCTTCATATAGAAAGTAAACATACTAGTATCATAGATGTGTTAACATTATATGAGACATTTGTACTACAGTTAACATTTCACCAGTAATAACATTTAGTATATTAAGTAGTTCTTTAGCTCACTGTTCTACGCTTATGACTTTCAACCAGTTGGCCATGAGGTTCGAAACTCGTTCCACATAACGACGTTTCGGTAAGCAGGTTGAAACTTTGTCTCATATGATAGGTGTAGCTCACTGTCTACTGTACAGGAAACTGCCCCAGCAGAATATATCACTATCCGCTTAACTTTCCACATTCATATATAATATGAACCAGATCATTTTCACTATATGAGTATATATCCCCCAATGAATGGAAAACAGTTTTGTTTTATTCTTCCTTCATTTGAAAATAGAAACACCAATATAATGAATATCATTTGTCGAATGGCTACATTTTCCAAATCATTGATTAACATACCTGAGTATTTTTAAATTATTATTTCAAGAGCAAAACAGTGAAATAGGATTATACAGAAGAAATTAGGGACAGTTGTGGAGTATAATTTTATCGCAGTATTTATTGGATGCAATATAGAATGAACAATGCATCAAATTAATGAAGGAAAATGAGATTTTTTTAGACGTAGAATATTATCCAACTTGAAGACTGGAAAGTATCTACATGTTAACCGAGAGGTAGGAAGTTCATCAATGATAGGAAGCGGCCTGAGTCGAAATCAGCATTCTAGTCATCAGCCAATAAGGTAGAAGTTTTGGATTTAAACCACGGTTACATGTTACCATGTGGGCAGGGGAAACCTTATTGGACATCTTTGCCCTACAGTTGACCAATCAAAATGAGTGCCCAACTTCTGACCTATTGGCTTTATTTTCTGAAGAAAAACTGTACATAAACGATGCGTTCTTGCCAAATAAAGTTTACCTTCCTTACGGTTACAGTCTGGTCCTTGTAATCTGATTTTTGCGGTTGAGTTCAGTATAAGGTCTGAGGGGAACAGTCGTTACTCGGATCCATTTCAAGTACTTCACTGCGTTGGTAGAGCTCTCGAATTTTGTATGATTGTCAGTCCCTTCCACTCGATCACTGCAATGATCATCAAATATCCCATGTTTCGTCTTTCATACTCCTGTGTTGACCCATTTTATACCTGTCTTGAAGATGACAAACACCGTGTAAATACCAAAGGTGAGATTTAGAAAACACTGTACCCACATAAGGATATCCACCATATTCCAACCAATTCGAAACCATTTGTTCCATAAGCTAACTAAGACTTTAGCAATGTTTTAAATTAAAGGTTACCCATCTATCTGATAAACGTGTAAAGAAATCTAATGACGAGCGGCTAAAATAGATATCAATATTTCAAGCCATTGGTCGATATGACAGAAATTTTCAAGCTTGAAGTTTTGATTCACGCTGCTGTGCAGTTACGATAAATCTTATTGAGCAGTTTCACACTTCAAATATTCAATCACGATAAGTTATTTTAACTTCCAACTAATGGATTCTCACGCTTGTTAAAACTATTTATATATATATGATGTATTTTTGTTGAGTAAAGTCATCTTCGCAGTCACAGGTCAGTTTTTAAGAGGGAAACTAAAAAAAATTATGACCAACAAAAAATATACTGACATATCGGTCAGGATTATATATTGTGGGACTCAGTGAAATAAAGGTGCCCAGAACGCCGGCTCTCTGAGGTTTAAACTACACAGGAAGATAAAATGAATATTATCGTGATGACGGTTTTAAGGCAAAGTTATACTGTTGGTAGAATAGAGATGTGACGGTAGTGAAATGTTTGCTCAAGATGATCAGCATTACAGATGAAACTACTTTTCAGTTCTAGAAAGTTCGAGAAAAGCCCAACCACAACTAAGCATTCCATTTTATTCCTCAGTTTTTCGAAGGTAAGCCCTTTTCCTTTAAGGAACAAATAACAACACCTTAAAAGATCGAGCATAACAGTACTGTTCAACGAAGACCATGATAACTCGAATAAAACGCAAAAAATAAAAGTTTATGTAAAGCAGTAAAAATTCCTACCTTTTCTGTGAAAATTCGTAATCACGGCGTAGAGATATACGGTAAACTTCATATTGAGAAAGTTCAATCACTAATCGAGCTACTTGTAACAAATTGATTGAATACAAACAATAAATAGTTTCTGCTGTGTACTCTTTAGTCCTTGATAATTCCTAGTAATTTATGAGAAAATTGTAAATAAGAATTGGTCAGTCAGCTCTATAGAATACAAGTAGTAAACTATCATAATCGAAAATATCCTAATAAGTTCTAGCTAATATAATGAAACTATCGGCATCTCTTCTGTTTCTACGCTTAAATCAGTTAGTTGATGTTTAAACTTAGTTTCAATAAAAGTAATCAAATTTAACATAAATTTGCTTACGAATTTGAATAATGATCTAGAATTGAATCAAAATTCTTAAACTTTCACTTCAACAATACAATCGTTTTCATCATCAATTCAGTAAACATTATAAAAAAATTTAGTTGTAGCAGCATCGAATGAAGTTAAGACACTCTATTGCTTTATATCTTTGCTCACTGGGTTAAAGCTTCTGTTCAAACCAACTAGAGTAGCTTCTAATATACATAAATATTACAAAAGGTCATATCAACCTCTTTTGAGTACAACAAGCAAAAACAAGAAATATCTGTTTGTTTCGTCCTGAATACCATACTTTCAGGATTTCTGTACAAAAGCAGGAAAGGAACATTCCATTTCTTCAGATAGACAGGTAAGCACCAAAAATGTTCCTGTTACTCCATTTCTTCTCTCTCTGTCTAGCAACACGTGAATATTCCATATTACATTTGTCTATTTGATTTATAACACACAATGATCTAGTATTATTTACTTGATGACCACATTTCGAGTATAAATTATCATTGCTCATAATCATGTCAATGTAATCAGACTACTTTCGACATCTGCTCTTTTTTCCCTCACACATATAAACTCAGTAGTAGGCGCAATTCAACTGACGAGGTAGAAAATGAACAAGGAGAATTATCTATATTGGATTGTCGAATAAAACGAAGAACAGACGGTGGGTTGGATACTATCGTCTACAGAAAACTGACACTCTAACAGGTATCTAGGCTTCAAGTCACCTCAACTAATGTCAATTAAGCCAAGCTTAGTCAAATGTCTAAGTGATAGAGCTAGAAAACTGACTAGTCAGTGCAAGCACCTAAACAAGAAATCGAAACACGTAAAAGAAGCGCTAGTAGCTAATAATTATCTTCTGTAGCATATTAAGAAACTAGTACAAACACACAAGAAACGAAAAGATAACAAGTAACACGAGTACAAATGATAACGACAACACAAGTAGAAAGGAGTTGAGGGTACACCCTCAACAAAGCTGGAATTAGAATGGCATTTAAACCTACAAACTCACTCAGAGATAAGATTTGTCGGCTGATTTAAGGACGGATCATTATTATTGTCAAACTGTCTGAAAACATTACTACGTGCAGCTTACTGGCACCTCCATATAGCTGAGGCTGTAATAATAAAATTGATCCAAAATGAACTCTGCACTTAAAAGTAACACATTGAAAGCACTACTACTCCATTGACCTTCCACAAAATAAAGGCTATTCTCATTCAGAGATAAGCTTTGTCGGCTTAAAGATCAGATAGAACCAATTAAGCAAAATAATCTAATCTATCAAATTCCATGTAATGACTGTGAGGTCAAGAACATACATCAAACTAGCCGGTCGGGGTCACTCAGAGTAGCAGGATATAGAGATTTAGCTAAATACAAAATGACAAACCCTAATAAGATAAATAATCTAGAAAAACACTCATCTATTGGAATGCATACATTAACACACAACCACACAATCAGTTGAGGGAGATAAAACTACCGTACTTAATTCCAATATAATTAAGTGGAGAGATTGATTACTGAGTCATTGTTCATCGAATCAATACACAACACATGTAACAGAAACGACGCAATACCTATAGCAGAGATATGGAAAATTTTACCACCAATAAAAACAAATCAGATAAGGTGACAGAAGTATAAAAATCAAACGTACACTAGTATGATTACATCGATATGATTATGAGCAATGATAATTTATGCTCGAAACGTGGTCATCAAGTAAATAATACTGTATCATTGTTATAAATCAAATAAAAAAAATTTAATATGGAATTAAATTATACCACAGTGCCCAAGTTTTACACCTATATTAACACCTGAATACTTCTATGTGAAATAACCCCGCTAAATATTTTGATGACCTTGGTGTATTGACTCTAGCGAATTCCTTATTTAAACAGTTCATAAGATGAATGTGTTTTTACAAAATATTGGATTATGATTTCCTTTTAACGAATCAACTCTTATTGGCTAAAAAATATTTGACCTTCGATTTTAGCTCAAAGGTGTTGTGAAGACCGATTAGGTTTTGTGAACCCTATGTCAATGATAGTTCTGCTACACAAGGAAAACTAGATAAGATTATTTACCATGCTTTCTTATCACCGACAGAATTCAGATTACCTCTCTGAACCTCCACACTTTCAGTTTGTCATTTACACTATATTACACTATATTACCCTTCAGATTCTTTCTGGGTCTTATAGAGGCAGATTATCCTGTGCTAAATACAAGTATGAATGCTGTTAGTAAGATAAACGATGTGCTTTTAACCCACCTAAGGAACAGTCAACTTCAATACATCCCAGTAACTAATGAATTCTAACCGATCAGATGCTCTACATATACTAATCGCTTTGTTCATATGTCCTTTTGGAGAAACGAAGTCCAGGTTCCTAAGAAATCGTTTTAACATAAGATTATGAATACTCAACATACGTTGTTTCTGGTACATATTTATATGAAGAGCGAAATTGTAGAAAGCAACAGACACGTAATCATTAAAATTACTCGGAAATATATTTATGATTATTTTTCTACCATCCATTTGGAAATACATAAAGGTACTATCTGAGAATCCCTGTCACTATACTCTATGAAAACTATGAAGTCTCAGGTTTCGTCTCTTTTATTAAAATGAGAATGTAAGAGAAGACTTTCATCTTTGTTACTGACTGCTATCCACCATGCAATCCTGTAAAAGGATTAGAATCAGTTTTTTCGAAACATGCCACATTAACCTACGAAAAGAGTGTGGTTCATTCGCCTGACAACAAATCTTGAACATTTGATGAATACTTCATTCAATCATTCTCTCTCTTCTATCATACACTTTTACTCAATATAATATCCTTCTTTGGCTATTTACTTTCTCTTTGTGTTCTGTGGTGAAGTGTAGTAGCTTGACCAGGTGCATTTTTATGCAACGTTCTACTTTCCTTTGTCTGCATCATTCTAAAATTCTATTCCATATACTTCAACTTCAAGGAATGAGTAGTAATCATAAGTTCTCTCACAAATTAGGTATTACTCATAATCCGTACCAGGTAACTAAGTTACACTAATGTCCTATATCAATTATTATGAAGAACGGTCTTAACCTACTGCAGCATCAGTAATTGATTAATTCTGAAAAGGATAAGCAATTACCCTATGTGAGGTTTACGCTGACAAAAATAATTCTCACTAAGTTATTCTGGACATTTATGCCAACTGGAAAAGAATCAGAACATCGACTCGGATGGCCGATCATCAGAAACCATATCACATCACAGTGCTGTATCATTCCCTATATCTTGCTTATGTGAGTGATGGTGTTAATCAGTATGTACAACGCATAAATTACTACACAAATCTGTAATCCATAAGTCCTTTCCAAGACGTGGAACAATAACAAGTCAATATAATAAAAGTACAAGTTCGACACTGCATTTAAGTACCAAAATATACGAAAAACTCACAGTTGTTGTGATAAAGCCCATAGATACCATGCGTGGAAGTATTCGTCGAAAATCACTTTGAGAAAGCAAAACCTTCCGTTCAATCTGTAAACATATACATACATAAATACATTTCTCTTTTATTCGTAAATCTAAGTCGAGTTTAACAGCGACATCACATCAATTTAGGTGCAACTTGACGGTGATTCACCTAGCTTTGTAGCCACACTACAATACAAAATGATCATTGAAATTCAGTTGGTAAGTTAGACTAGACAAGATGAAATTGATTATACTCACGTCACCAATCCATGAATGACTCTGAATATTATGAACCAAAAATAAAGCATCCGAACCGATCGTCAATATTCCCCTTACCGCTACTGCCTGGGTGTGGGTGTGAATTTAATGTACGTATTAGGTGGATGGTGAAACTTGTACTTCATTTAAAAATGTTGACTCAGTATGATTGACGGTTGACTGATTACATGGCTAACACTGAATCGAAACCAAAATGCGATTTTACAGCTTTGAAAATGAAATCACTGAAAAGAGACTCTTCGCTGAAGTACTTGTTCTTCTTTTAAATCATTATGGGTATATTTAACACAACAAACTATTGGTCAACTTAGTACTTTTCCTATAAACACTTCCAAACAATCCATATAGAAATGAAATTGCATCCAACATTTAGGCTGATAACAGAAATGCAACCGTCTAGCTTCCATTTAAAGAATGTCAGGTGATCCAAATTGCCTTAATTTTTAAAGACATCTCTAGCTACTAATTAATTCACTCCCAAAGATTACAGTTTTAATTTCCTCAACGTTAAAGATTTACATTTGTTTTATGAATTTGAACGAAAACAGAAGTGAAACCAAACGTACCAAAGTACTTTTTAGAGAAAATTGTATTTCAAGTTAGCATTCGAAAAACGTCTAGTGCATGAGTGAACAGCTATTATTAAATGAACAAAATACGATTAAAATATAGTTCACTAAACATTCTGCTTAATGTAAGATAAATTCAGTGTTCAGACATAGCGTAGTTCCGATGCATACACATAAGCTCGGATAGTGAACAGAATGTAAGTGTGAAATTTTCCCCATAACTACGGCTTAGACTACCAAGGGTGATAAATAAATGAGACCTGAAAACCTACTTAACGTTTACATAAAAATCTTCCGAATAAGAAAATATTTCACCTCAATGATAGAATAACAAACAAAGATAGCAGTATACCTAACATTATTATGATATATATTATTAGTCCCTTGGGTTCCTAGTGGAACATAGGGCTTCAGTAGCACGCCTCCAGTGACCTCTGTTCTCTGAGATCTTTTGAACCTGGTTCCACGACAGCCCACAACCTCTCATTTCCTCCTCGCATGACCTCCTCCATGTCACCCTCGGACGTCCAACTCGTCGCTTCCCATGGGGATTCCATTCGAGGGCCTGACGCGTGATGTCCTCAGTCGGCCTTCTCAGTGCATGGCCAATCCATCTCCACTTCTTCCTGCATATTTGTTGCGTGATAGGTTCTTGGTTGGTTCGTTCCCAGAGTTCCTTGTTGCTTATTTTTTCTGGCCATCTGATCTTCAGCAGCGAGCGTAAGCAGTTGTTGATGAATGTCTGTAGTTTATTGGAAATCCCTTTCGTGACGCGCCAAGTCTCTGAGCCATACAAGAGCACTGACTTGACGTTGGTGTTGAAAATCCGTATCTTGTTCCACATGCTGAGTGCAGAAGATCTCCACACTGGTTTCAGGCTAATGAACGCCTGTCTTGCTTTTCCGATTCTGACTTTGACGTCCTCGTCCGTCCCGCCTGTAGTTGAAACAGTGCTTCCTAGATAAGTGAAGGAGGTTACTTCCTTTAAGTTTCTCCCGTTGACGGTGATTGGAGTTTGTTGTTGTTGATGGTGGTGGTGCGGTATCTTCATCACTTCTGTCTTCTCTATATTCACCTGAAGTCCCGTCTTCGCTGCCTCTTCTATCAACTTGTTAGTTTTTGCCTGCAGATCTTCAAGTTTATGTGACATTAGGCATAAGTCATCGGCGAAATCCAAGTCTTCTAGGTTCTTTTCCGTCGTCCAGTGTATCCCCCTCTTCTCGCTGCCTACTGTTTGCTGCATGATCCAGTCCACCACAATAAGGAATATCATGGGGGATAGTAGGCAACCTTGTTTCACTCCTGTCTTCACTTCAAAGGCATCACTGAGCTTCCCATTGTGGATTACTTGGCATGTGGCATCTTCATATAGTTGTTGAATGAGGCGGATAAAGGTTTGCGGTACTCCGTAGTATTGAAGCAGTTTCCAAATTACTTCTCGGTCGACGCTGTCAAAGGCCTTCTCAAAGTCGATGAAGTTGAGGCAGAGAGCTGATTGCCATTCTATGCTCTGTTCTATGATGATGCATAGTGTAGCGTTGCAATTTGGTCTGCACATGATTTGTACTTCCTGAAGCCTGCCTGTTCCGGTTATAGTTTTGAATCCAGTGCATCTTTAAGCCTCTCCAGGATGATGCGGCTTAATATTTTACTTGCTGGGGTGGACAGGAGAGTGATTCCGCGCCAGTTCTTGCAAGCACTGAGGTCTCCCTTCTTCGGCAGTTTGACAAGGTAACCCTTCTTCCAATCGTCAGGTACCTTCTCTTCCTTCCACACCTTCTGCAATAGTGGTGTGAGCATGTCCGCTGTTGTCTCTGCATCTGTTCTCAGTGCTTCTGGCGGTATTCCATCTGGTCCTGCTGCTTTCCCACATTTCAGTAGCTTTATGGCGTTCAGGACTTCCATTTTCGTTGGGGGATTAATGTTCACTTGTAATTCAGCGGCTGCAGGTGGTATTTCTGGACGAAGTGCAGGTGGTGGTGGTCGATTCAAGAGCTTCTTGAAGTGGTCGGCCCATCGTTTCCTCTGTTTCTCTTCTTTTGTAATTAAATTTCCTTCTTCATCTTTTATTGGTTTCATCTGTGTTGGTCTCTTCCCTGATAGCAACCTGGTTATTTGATACAATGTCGTCAGGTCTCTCTTACCTGCAGCCTGTTCTGCTTCACTTGCCAGTGTATCGTAGAAGTGTCTTTTGTCTTTGCGTGCACTCTTCTTCACTTCTTTATCCAGTGTTTTATACATTGTGCTCAGTTCCTCTTGTCGTTGAGCATCCTTGCACTGGTTTATCTTCTGCTTCACCATCCTCCTCTCCTCTATCAGCTTCCAGGTATCCGTCGAGATCCATTCCTTGTCTTCTTTCTTCTTCCTTCCTAATACTGTTGTGCAGGTTTCTTTCCACATAGCTTTCAAAGACTTCCAGTGTTCTTCTACACAGGTTTCTTCAGGGATGTCCCTCGACGTCTCCCATTTTGTCTTGATGGCTGCTTTGAAGATCTCCTTTGTAGTTTCATCCTTCAGTTTCCGAGTGTTGTACTTGAATTGAGGTCTATCACCAGCTTCCTTGAAGGCTTTTAACTTGATTTGGAAGGTTCCTTGCACTAGATAGTGGTGGTGTGAACCTACATCTGCTCCTCTTCTTGACCTTGTGTTAAGTAGACTGCGTCTCCATTTTCTTGAGATTGAGATAAAGTCGATTTGATTTTTAGTGTGTCCATCTGGTGAAATCCATGTCGCTTTGTGGATATCCTTGTGCCTGAACACACTGCCTCCAATCACCAAATCGTTGAATGCACAGAATTCTGCAAACAATTCTCCATTCTCATTCATTTCACCTAGCGCCTCTCGACCCATGGTTAGTTCTCTTCCCGTGTTGTCCCCTCCCAGTTTGGCATTCATGTCGCCCATTAGAATTTTGATATCGCCAACTGACGTCTTGTCCAGTGTTGACTGAAGTTGTCTGTAGAATTCCTCCTTTTTCTCTTGCTCTGCATTATTTGTAGGTGCATAACATTGTATGATTGTGACCTTTCTTCCTTTTGAGTTGAATCTTGCTGTCATGATCCTGGAGGAGATTGGTTCCCACTGCATGAGAGCCTTCGATGCTCTTGAGGACATCATGATAGCCACTCCCTCAGTGTGCTCGTGGTTGGCGTCTGGGTGACCGGAGTAGATTATTGATTCTCCAGTTGACAGTTTGGAGAGTCCACTCCCATTCCATCTGCTTTCGCAAATCCCAAGCACTTCGATGTTATACCTTCTCATCTCCTTTGCAATCTGGGCTGCCTTACTGGGTTCAAACATCGTGCGGACATTCCATGTCCCCACGTTTACTTTCGCTTTCATCGAGAGAAGACACATCGGCCAATTGGCTTCCCGAAGGCTTTCACCAACTGGCGTCATTTCGCCTCTCCGATTCCAGCGGGGAATAAGTTTGTTTTCATTTTTTATATTTTGTTTGTGCTTTGAAGTTTCTTTAGCGGTTAGATTTGTTTTACGGGGTAGGGTTGCTAGCCCTATGCCCAACCTTCCCTCTTTACCCGGGCTTAGGACCGGCTAGTAACTAGTAAACTAGTTAACCAGCTTACTCAACCGAACTGTTGATAAAAGCCCTTGACAAGGAATGGATACTGGTTTCCTGCATCTGTTTTCGCAGACAGCCATACTTCACAGTATTATATCATTATGATTATTATTTGTCCCTTGGGTTCCTAATAGAACAAGGGCTTCAGTAGAATGTCTCCATTGCATTTTCTTCTCAGCAAACTTTTGAACCTGGCTCCACGACAGCCCACAAGCTCTCATTTCTTACTCGCACGGTCTCCTCCATGTCACCCTCGACACCGACGCCCAACTCGTCACTTCCCATCGAGGTTCCACTCGAGTGCCTGGCCTGACGCGTGATGCCCCCAGTCGGCCTTCTCAGTGTATCCCTAATCCATTTCCACTTCCTTCTGCGTATTTGTTCAGCAATAGATTCTTGGTTAGTTCGTTGCCAGAGTTCTTTGTTGCTTATTCTTATTATTCTGGCCATCAGATCTTTAGTAACAAGCTAGCGTAGGCAGTTGTTGATGAATGTCTGTAGTTTATTGGAAATCCCTTTCGTAACGCGCCAAGTCTCTGAGTCATACAGAAGCACTGACTTGACGTTGGTGTTGAAAATCCGGATCTTGTTCCACATGCTGAGTGCACACACACACTGGTTTCAGGTTAATGAACACCCCTCTTGCTTTTCCCGTCCTGGCTTTGACGTCATTGTTTGTGCCGCCGCCACCGCCTGTAGCTGGAACAGCGCTGCCTAGATAGGTGAAGGAGGCTACTTCCTTTAGGTTTCTCCCGTTGATGGTGATTGGAGCTTGTTGTTGTTGTTGTTGGTTCGGCATCTTTATCACCTCTGTCTTCTCTACGTTCACTTGAAGTCCCGTTTTCGCTGCCCTGCCTCTTCTGACAACTTGTTAGTTTTCGCCTGTAGATCTTCAAGTTTGTGCGACATCAGACACAAGTCATTGGCGAAATCAAAGTCTTCTAGGTTTTTTTCCGCAGTCCGGTGTATCCCCATCTTCTCGCTCCTCACTGTTTGTTGCATGATCCAGTCCACTACAATCAGGAATATCATGGGTGATAGTAGGCAGCCTTGTTTCACTCCTGTCTTCACTTCAAAGACATCACTGAGCTTCCCATTTTGAATCACTTGGCATGTGGCGTCGTCATATAGTTGTTGAATGAGATTGATAAAGGTTTGTGGTATTCCGTAGTGTCGAAGCAGCAGCTGCCAAATTACTTCTCGGTCAACGCTGTCGAAGGCCTTTTCAAAGTGGATGAAGTTGAGGCAGAGGGTTGACTGTCAATCTATACTCTGTTCTATGATGCGAAGCGTTGCGATTTGACCCGCACATGATTTGTTCTTCCTGAATCGAGCCTGCCTGTTCGGGTCGTAGTTTTGAATCCAGCGCATCCTTTAGTCTCTCCAAGATGATGCGGCATCATACTTTGCTTGAACTGGGTGGACAGGAGCGTGATTCCGCTCCAGTTCTTGCAAACACTGAGGTCTCCTTTCTTCAGAAGTTTGACAAGGTAACTCTTCTTCCAATCGCCAGGTACCTTACCTTCCTTCCACACCTCCTGCAATAGTGGTGTGGTGTGAGCATGTCCGCTGTTGTCTCTGCGTCTGTTCACAGTGCTTCTGGCGGGATCCCATCTGGTCCTGCTGCTTTCCCACATTTCAGTAGCTTTATGACACTCAGGACTTCGACTTTTGTTAGGGGATTCATGTTCACTTGTATATATATATATATATATATATATATATATATATATATATATATATATATTCAGACATGATTAATTTATAAAACACCTGGTTAGTGGAAACCAAACTATTTACAGATTTACACGATGACTCAAGGTATTTCTGATAGCTGAGTACTTTTTCAACTCCTCAACTATGACGTCAACGAGCAAAACGGTCGATTCAGTGTCTAGATCACTCTTGTCTGACTGGAGAAATATACAGGTCAATGTGAATTTCTAACTACCCATATTGTTTAACAGTACATTTCGTTGCTTGAATGTTAGAAAATAAGTCGAAATTCAACCCTTACCTCTTCCAAATTCGATGTTCCCGTAAGCAATAGATAACGGAAAATACGCAAGCCATTCGTTTCAAAGCTGTATGGTGGATGGATAAAAAATATGTAAATTGAGAATTTATGAGTGATGATTGAAAGTGAAATGAAAATTTGGACCACGGAAGGATTCGAATCAACAACTACTGAGTTCTCGGCCGGACGCTCTACAAACTGAGCTACACGTTTAAATACGAGTGTGCCGAACCACGGCTATTTCAGATGATCAAATTGATAATAAATTGAGAATTTTAAAATAAAAAAGAAAGCCTTACCATATCTTTGAACTTATTTTACTTTTTACAATGATGTAGTCTAGGAATAAATACTAAGAAGCATGAGTGGTGTTTGATCTATGAAATACGTTAGGTGACAGTAGCTGGAAAACAAACAGACTTTCGAGTAAACACATCAACCTCACGATTATATCAATGGGGGGGGGTGTCCATCAAAGACTCAGTACATGCCTAAAATCTCCAGGCAGCAGTCACAATTGTAAATCTAGAAAACTTGAAGTGGGTTAAACTAAAAATCCAAAATTTGACGATATCAAGATTGTGAATTCTCAAGTTTCAGCTATCCATCTTAATAAACGTAAATGTTGTTGCATATTAGCAGTAAGCTTCGTGTTTGTAGGCATTCACGTGCTACACTGAGGAGACTGATGCTCCTTTAATTACTAAAAGTTTCGCGTCAGTACCAGAAACTTTACCACCAAGATATTTACGGTATAACTAACGCCTTACTGGATTGAATTCTGTACGAGAATCGATCATCAGACGAATATGGTTGAAGCTATCAAGTCCCCAGTGTTGAGTATGGACCAAAGTTTATGGACCAAGTTTGAATTGTGGTTACAAAACTGAAAGACATGTCACTAAAGTACAGCTGTGTAGTGTGTTAGATTTTAGGGATGAAACTGACGTTTAGAACTTCTTGCTAACTGACTAACATTTAATACTGTTCGGATATGATGATACTGTTAGAATAAGATAAAGCAGATAGGAGCTAAGTGGCAAGTTGAGCATTTTTGCCATAATCCAAATAATCCAACAATATTCGACATCAAGCATACTGCATTGAAATGTCACGTACTTTCACCTCGTGGCGACATTTTAAACTCAACCGCTAGACTTTACTCAGCGCTGAGCATTAAGGAATTGATATTCACATCGGTTACCATCCGGCGATTAATTCGTACAGCTACATATGGACTTCATGACTGAAGCTCAGACATAATCAAATTTATTTCCTATTGAAGTCTAGTGACAATAATCCTTGTAAAAGAAACCCTTCTATCTACCTGGTTCGTTTTACTCGAATAATCTACTTAGATATCATGCAACTGGTTACACAACTGTGTATAATAGAATTCCATGTTTTTACGAATTTACGGTTATTCATAAACCACTTTAACTACAATCTTGAAAAAGTAATGAAAAATAGTAGACAGTAAGTAATATTACTTGAGAGCAGAATCACAGATTCACACCATCATTGTCTAGATGGCATCACTGAACAACAAACAAAATTATTTGATAAGTAGTAAGAATGTATACATGAGCAGTGAGTCTAACTAGTATCACCTAACACACAAGTAGTTGGTGTATGCAAATTTTAATGCATTTGAAACATGCTGCAAGGTACTTCTGTAAACAATATCCGGAAACAAATGCTTCGCTCGTTTACGTCTATGGTTTTTAAACGGTCGCTCATAAGCCTGCCACCCACCTAATCTTTTTATGTTTCGTAGGTAGTAACACTAGTCTTTCCAATAGAAGTCATCAACAGCCTAGTATAATAGTCTGTAGATAGTTGTGTAATTTGTATTCCTTATTCATGCACATTCGACAATACAATAGAATCCCCTGGTAAATTAGTCAATGTCAACATAAGATCCTCATCTAACAAAATTTGGAGCGTATTATTCCACATATATTTCTTTTTTATTTGTTTATACTCTGTTTTTTGTTAACTCCAACTTTTTTTCTCCATCGACAGATTTTCGGTACTGAACCAGATGTGAACAAAAAAAAATATTTACGGCTCACAATAAATTAATTTTTAATTTTTTCAACTCCGTAATTTATAAACATATCATCGAGTGTTCAGGAAAAATGCTAAAAACAATTTTAAAAACGTCAATTAAGGTAAAAACTTACAGGACTTGAATTATATACTCAACATTTCTTACGAATATATGTTTAATGACGTGTTTATAAGCTTATTTTGATGAATATTAAGGAAATTAGTTCAGAGTTTTGAAGCAGAAAATTGCTAGTTGAAATATCCCACAGAAATTAAACATAACTTGATTTACATTTTAAAAAATAGTCTACGTAATAGTATTGTAAACATCTCTGACTATAGAATTTTCATCAGGTTTACATTCGATATCTTAATATGATCAAACTATTTCCGACTCAGAACATTAGTTTCTTATTTGATAAGATACTTAAAACCAGTATGTCAGCTGAACACATTCATCCTCGAAGCGGAGGTAGATACACAATGCAGTTTCTCATACACAACAATTCACATGTCATCAGTACAATCTAAAGTAAGGTAGAGAAGGCTAGGGAACAATAGTATTTTGCATCTAGCCTAGACAGCACTAATTCAGAATAATGATTCATGTCTTAGTTTGAATAAGTTGGCTGATTTTAGGAGTGCTCAGCTATTCAGAAGAAGGTAATTTATATACACCATCCTACATAAGGAATAAGACACTTGATGTATATCAATTGTAAGGTGTAGGTGCAATAACCTCCACCTTAGAAATTTGACGGGAGTTGGTTGGAGCATATTTTAACTCTTACCCTTTACTTGAAAACTATAAAAACAAGCTTTTTTGACGACTTCTCTTCACTCTATTAACATTTTATTCAGTAACATAAGAAGCCTTTAGAATAAAAAAGGAGTCAAATGTACATATGTCCGCTTAAATGTTTATGGATATTTTAACGAAACCAAATAATAAGATTTTCATGATACACTGGCAATCTTTCTGGTGCATCAACTAGATGTGAGTGTTATGTTTAACATGTCATATGATATCATAGTTTTAAAGCAAATATGCAACCAGTATTCCAATCCGCTAGTTACTATTGTATATACCATAAACATAACCGACTAGCTCGATTCACAAGCATTAGAAATACATGGGTGTACGATTTAGCGGTAGTCGAACATGTACTACTCTGCCTCCTTTAGTGTCAAATGAACAGTCTACTGTAATATTAATCATGGAATTTGACATAAGCGAAATAAGATAGTGGCTACACAAAAGGGAGATACGTGATGCTGCATTATATATACATATTCATTAGTTTGAGTTGAAAGGATACGACACGAGTACATATATCCACCAAGTCCTGGTTGTTGCAGAAGAAACTTCACCTATAAAACAAAATCATCAAAAACAAACTTAAAGTGCGCACAATTTTAAAGAAAGAGAACAAGAAACTGCTAGGTATAAAATACTTCAAAGCTATGATAAATTGGTTTAGACAATCAACTTTTAACCAGTAGTCAACGTGTTATACATTAGTTTCACCTATAGAGCTTCGAATAGTCAAGTGGAATCGCTACAAATAGGTATGGCTGGTTGTCTAGGACACAAAATTGCAAGTGGTTATTAAAACAGCAATATGTTTTAACTCGTCAACCTACATTTTCATATTATTTACTTCACGAACAAGTAATGCAATAATCGGTAAAGTCATATCAACCTTGTAAATCAAAGATACTTAAATAAAAAAGGAACAGTTACGGTTTTGCTATTCAATATGGAACAATTCTGCAGTTGTGCCTTGGTGTGCAACACAATTGGCTATCCATCACCGTAACATTTTAGAAACCCTTTTTTCATCTATCTTAAATTTAGAAAGTTAATTAGCTACCTTACGTTTGTGACCCTTCGCATGACTTTCGGGGTTTATTTTTTAGTCTGGTCACAATCCTTAAAACCAAAAGCTTAAAATGTCCTCAGCTTTACTCTATCGTATAATATATGGTACTGGCTTCCACTAAAAATGTGACGAACGAGGGTAAAAATGGTAAAAATAACTTTTGTTACACTTGAAAATTAACAAAAAAAGGATGTCACCCATCCGTTTTATTAACAAATTGATAACCATCGAAAAGTAAACTGAAGTAAAATTGACAATCACATTCAAGCTATGGATATGATTGTTCATAGATGTCTACAGATCATGAAATGAAATGTAGTTAGCTAACTGACTGAAAAAAACCACCGTAGAACCTCGCACAAAGGTGCATCAGCTCAAATTGCCACACTTTACAGATGTATACAAGGGAGAGATGGATAGAAAAAGTGACATCAAAGAAGATAAAATAGTTTAAGATAATAAACAGTCTGAAGATAAAGGTTAGTGAGAATATTCAGGCTTCAGAAGATACCAACGAGTGAATACATCTGCGCCATTGAGACCGATTCTCAGCCATGTCACCAAGTCCTCAACTACTGATTCCTTTCGTCCCGGCGACCCAAAACGGGCGGTCTACATCTAGTTAGCTAAGCGACAATGTGCATCAAACGTATATCTATAACACCTTGCTGATAATTCATAGGTACTGAACGCCAAATATAGTGTCGAGTTTCGTTTGTTGGCTACTCTATTGCATCCTCTGAATAACAGGTATTTATCAGCCCTGAAAATCAGAGAATAACAATGCTAATGCAACACAAAATGATTCCGGTATATAAGCTGATGTAAAAGGTATTAGTCACAGCACGTATATCTTAGCAGTTTTCTGGACGATGAATCTTCGATGCGTTACAGATATGCTTCTTCAGAGAATGGTTACGAATATAAAATGTAACGCTAAGATTGTTAGATGAATACCTTCAACTATTTGGTACCAAAATAAAGGAGGATGAGGATTTGTGACTCACATCTCTACTAACTACTTAGCGACGGACAACCCATAATTGGGTAAATCACCAAAAGTCTATCAATAATTTCCTTTAAGTATCAGAGGATGACTAATACCGAATTCATATGTGTACTTATAACTGTTTAATTCGGATATCAGACCCTATGCGCGAGCAAATACGAACAGTTGGCAAGTGATCGCTGGTGCCTATTACGGTAAAACTCATAACTAGGGAGCCGCATCGAAAAACACAGCCCTAAGTTTATGAAGATATGCTATCAGTTGATGTGAGAAGTGAAAGCTTATTTGTTTGCTAAAAATCCACTTTGTTTGATGAGACAAAGGGAATAATAACCAGGCATGTTACAGATAACAAAAACTGAGACACAGATAAACTAGCAGTCTTTTAGCGTTTAAATATGCGAGTGTTGGTTAAAATAAACTATGATTATTAGCTCGTACGCATAGCTATAGATATCAGTCACAGCCTAAGCTCCGTAGATCAGTTAATGATTGACAACTATCCCGTTACTGAGAATAGGTTGTCCAAAGGTAAGTCTGAACTGCCAGTAGTAAATAGCAGAAAATATCTTCATTCACCCAAATAAGATTAAAAGGTGATTGCATATGAATTCAGCAGATACTCAGTAGATTTTCTTCCTGAATTGTGAAGAGTGTAGCAGTTCAAAAGGTAATGAAACCAGTTTACTTTTTGTTCGATTATCTGTTATTTCTTGAGGAAGGAGAGATGGAAACATCAATGAAGACATTAACTTATAATTAAAATATTTATGTAAGTAAAATGGAAATTAAGTGGACAAAATTAGGCATGAAATTACCTCATCATCTACTAAAAGGGAGATAAACGAAGACATATAATCCGGTACACTTCGCATACTTCGTAGAAGCTGTAACAATGGAAGCAAATGTAAAACGCTGAACAACAGAATATGATTAATGAAGCAAAGTGTTTTCACTGACAATAAACAAATATGCCAGTAGTTATGATGTTACATCAATGTAAGAGTAAAATTTGGGCACTGTGGTAGTTTGTTAGTTACATACATTTCACGGACATTTCAAGAAGTCATTATATAATACTGTTCGACTGCATGATACATATGCTAAACGAATTATAATAAATTTGATATTAACACAGTAGACAAAACCAATAAGTATGTTGAATGGAAAATCTACACTTCGCAACATTTTCTTGGTCGATAATTCATGCGCAATTACCAACAACAGAGGTCATGTCACGTGGAGAAAACCCCGCCAAGAGTAGGGTTGTTACGAACTGACCAAACTTGATGAAACCTACATAAAGCAGTTAATAAGCTCAACTATTTCGCTTTTTATTGTTAAATAAAGCATCAATGCGGACTAATCTAGGAGAGGAAACTAGCATTTCAAAGGTGGGGAAGGCGTCGTAAAAACTCTGAAGTGTTCCATATTTAAACACAAACATCAGTATTATTGCAGAGAACTGTTCACATACCCAATCTAAAAGAGTTTATGAAAACTGTTTCTCTAAAATATGTTAGCAGAGAAAACTGAACGACTGATGTGTACAGGTGGAGTGTTATGCAAGTGTAGCTACACATGTACCAAAAAAACCTTACCACACGTATTTACGTTACTTTATTAACTGTGCTCCGCTTGTTCACTTTGAACAGTTAGATTTTTGAAATTTGTAAGCCTCTTTCCTACAATCATATTGACACATTAAAGCAGCTACATTTAAAAAGCCAGCATGGTGTAAAAATAATGCAGTACTGAAACTTTAACACAGGAGCATACACTATGTCATTGTGATCTAGTGAACAAAATCAAAGTCAGAACATACTTCAACCTTCAAAAATATGAAGGCTTCAGTACCTTCTTGGTCTCTAATAAAACTTGTGAACAGAACACAGTACCTACAAATTCATATCAGTGTCTCAAGATGTAGAACACAAAATAGAAGATTTATGGAGTAAGGGCACAACGTAGCGTCGTAAGTTCACATTTTCAAAGCATTTGCATGAGTTCGTTTTAAATGGATAAAAAAAATGCTACCACTTACGAAACCAATCAGGATGTGGCATCTATCATATCTAACTTTTCAGAGTAAATTAGTGTTGACAAATAAAAACTAGTTTAACTGATGAATACTTCCCTATATATCTGCCAAAATATCCAGGCAATTTATAACCAATAACACTAGTATTATAATAATAATAATTGTAAGTCTTTCACAACGACCGATGTCATGAACAGTAGGTAAGGAGTTTTATCAAAAGGAATAACACACAAGGAGTAGTCCGTCATGATCATTAAGGCTATATTACAACTCGCCATAGATTTGTAAATTGTATTCATTACCCTAAGTATGAGAAAAACTGATAGTAGTGTGAGTAAACTCGGTGAAGTCACTTAGAAGACATTTTTTAAGAAAACTTAAAAGAAATCAATGTTAATGAATGAGTTAAAATAAGAGATGTATACTGGATCACAACGAAATAAAATATGGTAAAAACAAAATCTAACCTCTGAACGTGAAACAACCCCTGATTCTGGAGAAGTTATTCCAGTGCCCCGATTAGCAGCTGTAGCGATACACAATAAGTGTGACAAAATGTCACCACATACCTGAAAAATAATAGATAATGATCATTAGAATTATTAACTAAGAATTTCAATGATTTATAAAAAGATGGAGAAACAACTCACTTCACCAAGTTTTTCACTGGCCAACTCGCATATTAATCGATCTCGCCACATTGTTTCTAACGTCTGAATATTTGGACAAACTACCAGTTTCAGAAATTTGGCTAACTAGATTTTTTTAAAAGAGGCAAAAAGGGGATCGTTGGATTTTTTTTTTCAAAATATTCAAACATAAACACAGATAACATGAGAGATGAGACGAAAAATACTAAAATACACTTGAATAAAACATTTGCAGTAGTCTAGGCTTTTAATCAATATATAATGAAATGGATAATTCATATTCTAGAGATGAGAAAATGTTGTATAACGCATATTCATTAGAAAAAGGTAACGACGTACGCATGTTCATGCAAGAAGTAATGGGCACACCCATTGCTTGAATCTAATTAACTTACCCTGATTGTTGAAACCTAAATACACTGAACAGATACATCAATGAAATAGTATAATTCACCAAAAGAGATTTTCAGCACAATTTACTGCTCATAAGTATATCACACTAATATCGCTTCATTCTTTTGCATATATAATGAACGAACTAAAATGGAATTATACGTCTTATTGTTTTATTAAGTTGAACACAATTTGAATCCATTGTCCCTTGATTAAAAATAGTGTAAACAAGCTAAAAGACCACGGTCCTGCTTATGTTCTCAATAGCTTAAGCGTGAAGAAATTCATTGACATTTGGAAAAGTCAAGGTATACTCTCAACCTAGTTAGTCAGATACTGAAAATCTCTAGGTATCCGTGTACTTTGATGCTTGTACTGATGCCACAAATTGACATATCTTTGTGACAAAGAAAGTGGAGCATGGATTTTACTGAAATTTCCTTGTGAACCGAGTGTACAGCTGAAGATTACACTAATTATGAAAATGAATTTCACTCAGTGAAATTCAGTCAAAACGATTTAATAACAAGAAGCATTCCAGTTCAGTGCATTACGCAACTAGTTTTCATGAAAACAACTCAACTTGGCATATGTTTATGTAGCAGGTTAAGAGCCAAGCTTGTTGCGTGAAGTTTTAAAATAGTATTTGGTTCCCCAAACACAGGGATGCGAGATGAGCCCAAAACTTATCGCTTGGAATTCAAGTTCTAAAGTCAGTGAGAGATGGACGACGTGATAAAAGCGATCCCAGGTGAGGAGTGAAAAACCAAATCTTAAGGATCAAACTACATTTGGATGGATAGAGGAAGTACGACTGTTGCAATGCTATCTCCACCACAACACCTAGATTTTACCATCTATTTTGCATTTAGCTGTCATATGAGACAGAAAGGCAGAAATCACTGGTTACACAGCGACCTTCGTTCTTACCTTTGACAAAAGACACCCTATTATTTTAATGTTATCTATGCATATTATTTTGCATCCCCTTCCCTTGTATTCAAAGTACGATACTGTATCAAACGACACAATATATAATAACCAGTTACTCTGACAGGTTTCCTGATTCTCAATCAAATTAGGCAGGAGATAGAGCTACGGCTTATTGATTTAGGTAATTCACTTTCAATCAGTGAGTTGCAAGTCCGAAAGATGCGCCACCTATTAATGTTTCTGAAGCCCAGTGGTAATACTAACCTTTACACAATAGCTTATTGTCTCGTACACAGAACCTTGCATGGTTGTTAGTGGTGATAATGGAATTTTATTGGGTGGATCTATCAGTCAATAACTCGGAGTACCTCTATTATACCCGATTAGAATACATGAGTTGGATAACAAGAAAGAACAATATAAAAATCGTCCGATACAGAAGGTCCATTCTTAGACATGTACCGTAAATCTGACATAAGTGAACTGACTGGCTAGTGCAGGGTCATGGGAACAAAATGTAATGTAACAAGGCAGTTGGATTAACCCTGTAGATCACTGACCGTGGACCCTCAGTTACGAATCGAAATGCACTTGGCAGCCTTGTGCACTTCCGTGCAGTAGGCAATGAGCCACACCTAGTGTGGGAGCTAGTGATACTGTCCGGCTACCGAAATCTCGGTAACTGGAGGGGGGTTCGAACCCGTTACCCATCGGTTGAAAGTCAACTCCCTATACCAATGAGCCACAGCTTCACTCAGATATGAATAGTAACCATTGTTGAATAACACTTAACTGTATGCTACGGACTTTTGAGATTTTGGATTTTAGGATTCTACAGAGAAACAGTCACAAGTCGAATGAAATTGATCAATTATAGCCATTTCATTGTGACTCATTACTTAATTACATCATATAGCATTATTTAAGCATCTCGATCAACCAGAATTCTGTCATCGTCTCTATCAGCTAAACATTTCTTTGATAGCAATCATCTGGCTGTCTTCTTTACATTCATTTTATAAATGTTTTACTATCTACTCTCTATTTGTTATCTGTGTACGGCATTACCAGAAACATGGAATAATTAGTCCCATTTATCTTTAAATAACAATGAGTTTGAAGCATATAGTAAATTATACAAGAAATAAATGGATGAAAAAAAATACACCAAAGTCATTCGGCAGTCGTTTTTTAAATTACCTCAGAAGTTTCATCATAATGTTTGGCACGTTTGCGTTTTGGTTTATTGGTTTCAATAGGTATAGGCCAGTTAACACGTCCACTAGCAATATAGTTGTGTAGAGCTTCTAAATTATGCAGAAGTAACTTATGAATTGAATTAGTGGTCAAATGAATAAAATGGGAATATCAATAACTTATCACGAAAGTATTATTAGACAAATTGAAAAATACACTGAGCCCTAGATACAAGGATGTGAAGCGAAAAAGAAATAGGTAACGCCTACAAGTTATGCCGTTTCGCGCACTAGGTGATGAGCCGCACCTACACTGTAAGGACTTAGGATACTGAGAAGTTGGATAAAGCAGTAAATATTGTTTATTGAGGAAATACAACCGATGATGGTAAAAGTACTGAAACTTTCGATATGGTTCTCATTTACAAGAAAACTCTTGTTCTGTATATTAGCCCAGACTGCTTTTGCTCTTTATATTTGTATCTAGTATTGTGTACTCTGTTGGCCCAAACCCTCTCCAGTCAACCGTTACCACTTTCCACATTGCCATATATACTAATTATTGCATTTTTATCACCAACTCTCGCTACGATACTACTTGGCTGCTCAAAACTTGATAGGTAGAGCAGGTTTCAAACCTGTGGTCTACTGGTTTAAAGTCAATCCCTTAGAATAATCACTTACAATTCCATATGATGATGGAAGGTGAAGAAGACCGACGTCTCAGGAAAATAGAAGTAAACCAGTGTCACGCTCCCCTACCGACTGAGCTATGAGACCAAAATATTAACGAAGTCTCAATTCCACTTGAATCAAGTAATTCACCCGGTTACAATGTCATTCATTACACTAGCAACCTTGACAGGTTTTCTCATCCAACTTCAAACAAAGAAAGCTTAAGTAGAAAGAGGACATTGAATGATTAGTTGAAATAACTGCAGCATAATACAAAAGTAGGATCCAGTAAATCCATTAAGTTACGTCAAACTCAAACATTGCACAAAGCACGATTTTCAGTGGCGTACAACGGCAAATTAGCTTTATTTTCTTTATCACACTTCTTCCATTCTTGACTAACCATCTTACTTAGTGAACAACTTATCATCATCCACTACACTCTCATGATCCTCTGCCAAAATACTGTTCTATGATTAAATGCTTGAGGATTACTAGCTGCTTCACTCAAGTTAATGATTTAACCCTATTTAAATTCATCTAATCTCCTCGACGCTATGATTTATTGGTCAACTTCCAACCAATAAGTCCCAGGTTCAAACAGTGATACACCTACGGACGTCTGCGTGATTACGTAGTACCATAAGGCCTAGAGTAGGTGTGGCTCATATACACGGTTGTTGAGTTGTTTTATTTAAAACACTTCCTTCATTTTTTTAATGTTTACTTGACATTTTTAGAATTAACCTACTATATCCTCATTCCTTGTTAAACATTAATTTCATCATAGTTCAGTGTCAAATCATAGGACAAATGTATTCATCAATATGAAGTAATCAGCCCAGTAGTGTGATTGGAAAACGAGATTTCTGAATATTCTTCCCCCATTTTAAATTACTACTACGGAAAACGTGATTTCTTTTTATGACACATCACTAATAATAATTGGTTAACAGCATATTTTAAAGTATCAGGACATACACATCCTTTTACCAAGAGGCTTTACTGTTCTACAATAAAAAAGGTGAAATATAACAGACTTTCTTTCACACTAATATCTTAACCTATGGCTATTTCCCATAGTCTCATCAAAAAAACAATGAAAAAGAGACTTGTTCTACAAGATCTCCGATACAAGATATGTTAGACATTGAAAGATTAACCACTTAAAAACAGCTGCTGAACTTAAACTGATTCCAGACATGTATTTTGAAGGGGAATAAAGTGAATACGTAAACAAACTGGGCATATGACGAGAAAGGAGGTTTTCTGAGGAAATCATAGCTGCAAATATCAACACTAGTTTGTTCTGTGTAGATACGTCAATACAAGAATTTTAAGTGTTTACCTTATTGACAACAAACATATCGAAAAACGCAGCCCGAATAGCATTTGTTGGGTAAGAAGATGGCGTCATTTCATTTCATAGGGTTTTCCTCAGCTGCATGCAATCTGAATAGATAAGTAAATACGATAGGATTTTCAAATTACTTATATATTTGTCAAAGTGAATAGGATTTGCCCCTGGATATTAAAGATTTTGGTGACCCAACCTGTGATTTAGCTTCACGTCCAAGATTTTCATGGGATGTAGGTAATATTTGTGAGCTCCGTGTTTTAAAGAACTTACGATGAAAATTTATGATTTCGAAACCAATCTCATAAAATTTTGGCGTAGCAATCTTTTGCAACATACGATGTCGAATGATTACTGATTTAAAGAGTTCAGTGGAGAGATATTGCTTCACCGAAAGAGTGAAAGATTTGAACGTACCGAATAAGTTTATGGCAGCATACAACAACACGCCTTTATTCACCATTTGCATTTCCTTTTTGTTGTGAATTGAAATGCTTTTCTGATCTTCAAAAAAGCGAACTCATATCTTACGATTTGTCATATAGAGTCGAATAAAATTTGTCATGGTGATTATTCACTAATTTGTTCAGATTGCATGTAGCTGATGAAATTCCTATGAAAATGAAATGACGTCATCTTATTCTGTAAATACTGTTCTTACTAAATTGCTTAAGTTTATACAAAGGAGTAAATCTTCCAAATAACATACTCCATAGACACCCGAGGAACTATCCACTAGTTGTAAGACTATTTTAAAATAAATAAAAGTACTCAGTATTTATTTAATTACTACAAAAAAGGTTTTGACTTGATACATTCAGTTAAAATGGTATGACCTCACAATAACAGTATCGATAGTAGTTTTTACTCATATTTTTGCAACTTTTATGTAAGTAGTTTCACATGGTTTCAAAACTATAGTTTGTTGATTATGCAGGTGAACTGTCAGTCAGTGCGTATACAATCAGATTTGTTTTGAAACATCTTATTGTACTACTATTCTCATGTGTTTCTAGCTATCATTAGGCCATTACCAAAAGGTTTGGTATTTGCAATCCTTCCTAACACTTCAAGCACAGTAGTATTCAGAAAAAGCGGAAAAAGTGTTTTAAAATTCATCAGGTCATTCATTAGGTTTTCCCTGACCAATACAGAGATGTACATATTCCTTCCGAATACAGAGCTTAGGATTATTTATTCAAATTACCACAACCTCGGCTATATGTGAAAGGCGAATCCCAACTCCATCAGAAGGGTTCAGTGGAATGCAATAAATCACTTTGAACGCCTTCGTTTTATCCACTCCATGACAACTATTAACCAGATGTAACAAAATAAAGCTTTTTATAGATTTAAATTGTCCTTTTTCAAGCTGTGAAGGTTGGCGTTTGGTTAAACGTTGATTCAGTTGTCGCTACCATACATATTCACAAATATAATTGCTCTTTTGAAGACATCGTGGGGCAGCGAAGGCTGAAGGCAGCAGTAGTGGGTAGCAGTAGACACTTATTTAGACTTACTACATCAGTTGGAGCGAAAGAATTAGTGGTTAGTGAGAAGAATGGGTCTACGATTCAGTCGCAGGAGAAACAACAGGAACGACAGGCGGAAAAATTCGAGGAACAGACCAACTGGCCTCCAACTAGTATTTCGTTGCGCATTATCCAGTCGCGGCCTAAATCAAACATCGAGATAGGGCCTCAAACATTTGCAGAAGTCGCGAAAGCTGTATGTGAAATGAAATGAAGAAGAGCAGTAGGGTCAGATAGACTATTTCCAGATTTATTTCAGGACGACGGTCAATCATTTTAAGTCAACTCAATCAAAATGTTAACTAGTGTGCAGGAGTTCGATATGATCTCCTCTGACTGGTCTCAATCACTGCTTGTCCCAGTCTTCAAGAAAGGTGAGACGTCCTCCTTTGATAACCACAGGAAAATCAGCCTCACAAAAATAGTGTCTAAGACTCTAGGTTCTACGATCATTAGACGTTTGAGTGGAGCTTAGGAACAACAAACCCGAGAAAACCAGGCAGGATTCAGACTTGGTCGTGGGTGTATCTACCAGGTACTCAAACTCCGTCAGCTTCTGGAATACAGGCAAATTTACCGACCCTCGATATTAGCTATATTTCTTGACATGAAGGCGGCGTTGGACTCCGTCGATCGAGAGGTCTTATGGCAGTGTCTCTCACTGAAAGGGGTACCCAATAAGTTCACTACTCTGTTAAACACTGCTCGAACACCCGTGAGTGTACCACAGACTATGGTGAGTCGTCAGGAGAGCTGTGTACATCCTATGGTATCCATCAAGGATGGTCCCTCTCTTTATTCTTATTCAATTTCGTCACAGATGTTCTTATGGAGGTCTCCCCTCTTGTCACCTGACATCACAGGGATCTAACAACAGGAAACTCCTTGATAAGCAGATGACAAAATTCTGTTAGGTGAAAACGCTGACAAGATACAGTCTCCTGGACATGTTAAGTGGCAGTTTAAGAATGTTTAGGATGCTTTTCTGCCCACCCAAATGCAAATCGTTGCTTCAGGATTGGTCTGCAGCGGTGCTCCGGCTAACAATAGAGAGTGAAGTAGTTGGATGCGTTGAACACTTCAGTTGCCTTGCGAATTGGATCAGTCCTGGTGGGTCATTGACCGATGAAATCTCTTCACAGATAAAAAAAGGTTTGGTTGGCTTTTGTCAACTTACGGCATCTGTGCCCCCACCTCCGCTATATCAGGTCGTCTACTAATGGTCGAGTGTGCTATACTGTATTTCGCTCTATCCTGCTGTATAGCTGTGAAGCATGGCCATTCAAGATAGAGGATATAAGAAGGTTTCTGGTGTTTGACCACCGCTGCCTTAATAGTATAGGCCGTGTATCGTGGTGTCAAAGCGTGAATAATGCGTGAGTAACGCAGAAGCCAGGTGTAGAGTTTTAGGGGGGAGAGAAAAGTCAGTCGATAATGTTGTGAACTAAAATGACTAAGATGACTTGGATATGTGTTACGCGTCCCTAGCCTCCGCCCGCCTCGTTGCGCAATGTTAGTTGAAGCAGATCCAGGATGGAAAAAAGCTTGGGGAGACAATACTAAAAAGTGGCGTCCCTGCATGAGATCTTTCACTGTCAGTTTGAATCATGTAGGGTGATGCAGACTAACCGGTTACAGTCCACGTGACAACACAAGCCAGTGCTTGGAAACTCTAGGTGATATTGCTCAGGATCGATATCAGTGGCACAGATGTATTCATACTTTATTTTCATCTTAACCGGTATTGTGAATTCAGCATGTCCTCTCTCCTTCTTCCTTTCTCTTGCAGCATTCTACTGACTGATTTTTCTTACTTTCTTCATCTTTCATCTAACTACCTTGTTACTTGACAACTTCGGCCGTCAGTATGTTGATATTAATTGGCTAATTGCGTCACACTTTCGAAAACCAACTAACCTACTGAATTCTGGATGCCCAAGCAGTGTTACGGTGCCTTAAACAATAGATATGATTCACTATCTAGTGCACGAGCCTGTATGTGGTTGTTAAGCTGAATTTTATTACCCATATATTCCTTAATTTTTATTAAAACTAAGTAGTCTTTACATACATACATACCCTTGATTGATTATTTTTCGTTCGATGAGTAGATCATAAATGTATCTTATTTGTACATGAAGGAAGATTTCTTCATTCTAGTTACGGCTCATCCAGCTAGGCACTTTATTTTTAGACTAGGGACAATAAATTTAAACCTTTCTCTATTTATCAAGTTTTGGGTAAGCGACAGCCTCATCAGCCCTAGCAGGATAGGTGTGACTGGTTATCTTATGTATCAGCAGGTATGTAGTTGCTGAGTACTCTTCTCTAGATTATGGTATCAAAGTAAATATAAGTCAGTTACTTCGTTAATATGTTTTTGTTCTGAAGTTCATTCAGGTATGACGTTTGTCATATGAGTTAACAAGTTCTGAATCGTAAGTAAACAACAATTTGGTTAATGCAATTTTTTTTCACTCAGGCACTAAAATTGTATTTCCAATTGTACTACGACGAAAATGCAATAAACAAGTAGGTGAGTGAACTACTTACTGAAGTCAACAAACGGAGTGAGTACCAAATGTAAATATGATAAGTACCACACAAAAAGTAAAACAATTTAATAAATAGTAATGGACTAAACTACTAACCACATATTTCTTCTTTGGGAATTTGCATTTCAGAATCTTGAGTATTGGCTGTTGTTGCAGCTGTTTCGGCTGTTTGAGAAGTACTGGTTTCTTTGTTAGGTTCAACTGACCAGATTTTTGGATTAATGATTTGCAACACATTGGTTTTCACTAGAGTAGTCACAGTGGTCCCTAAGGTTTCAACATAAGTGTGCTGTTCTTCCATAGGAACTTCAGAGAGATGACTATGAAATCAGCTACTTACGTTTGTTTAGTATATGCTTCTTAACACAATATATCAATACATCGCTTAAAGAAGCGCGTCCAACCGTAGCGAAATAAAGCATTGCTTCCTCTGCAATTTTACCATAGTAATGAAACACCAATTTACAAAATAATGGTGACCTAAATGCACAGAGATGTGCGGATGAGTATACCGATTATATCACTATTACCTCGGTAAACAAAATATACGCTCGTAATTTAAGCTGTATTTTAACACGATATCTTTTTTTATAGTTAACACAGAATGTCTGGTTAGCGAAATCAGGCATCTAAAATATAATCACCCATGATTATAAAGACCAAATAACCACTTACCTGCAGACTCGATGTGTATCTAACTTTTTATGTGAATTCTTTAAAATTTCAAATAGACTTGATGCACCTTTAACGCACAAAGCATGTGTGCTTACTGTGGCAGCCTCACCAAAATACTTGTTTAAAAGATAAACTGCATAGTGAGATGCTATGTCTGACATTTCATCAGTGGTGACTTCGAAATAGATCCTGCAAAAATGTAAAAATTATTCTTAAGTCAATGAAAAAAATTAGAAATAAGTATATGTGAAATCCTTGAAAAATTCAGCTGAATAGCTTACACTCCCCAATAAGTTGAGTTATATATATCAGCACAATTTACCCAGTTGAACACAAAGAATGGTGACAGCGTAAAGTTACAAGATGGCCTAAATATTTCATTTACTAGGTTTTTCAAAACAATATCCATTACAGCAAATAAAATACCCTATTGAAAGTAACAATAAGACTTGGCCTGAGGTACACATGAAAAAGGATATAAATCTCTTTATCACTGGTCAAACAAAATGATAAATTTGTGGACATAATCTCCCATAGTTCTTGCATTATACAAGATTTCACTGAAATTAGGGACTGCTGTGTCAGTTCAAGATACTGTATTTCTAAACAAATTATGTGGCAGACAGCAAAACAACCTCACATACATTGATAAGCAGCCACTAGTTTTGTGACCTTTGCTCGTACTCTTAACCACTCATACATTTTTAGTTGCATAGTTTTAATTCCATTTTAAGTTCTATTCATTATATATCAGCAGAAGGCTTGTTTGAATAGAAGATACGATACGATATCAGATACAATCTACCCATCAGTCTTCTTCATCACTACTTAGAGTTTTAGGTATTGTCATAAATGTAGTGCGACCAATCAGCTGTTTATTTAGTTATCCTGTACAAATAACAACTATTTCTTTATATAACAACAGTACAGTAGTAAAACTAAATTTGATAATTATTAGTTTGCCGAACTAAGCTACATAATTCTTCTCTACCAAGCATAAGACTACTAAAGACATGGAAAACAGAACAAGATCATGGACAGCTTTTTACACTGACGTTGACTGATGGTTATGTACTGTTAATCAGCACTCGAAAAGTAACCAATGACTAGCAGAAGTGAAATTACACGCACAAAATTACTGATTCTTTAGGAGGTTTCACACTAAATATCACAAAATTTATATACATCTAGAGTCATTAAAAACTTTGCTGGATAACATTTTAAGCCCATTTTAAAGTTTCGATACACACAACAGGTAAACCTTTTGCTTATTATAAGAAAACACTTTAGTACGGTGAGGATATTTAAAATCTAGTATTTACTGCAGATATTTTTAACTAGAGCTCTGAAGTCGATGCATAAATAACACTGTAGCCTAGTGATCATGTACACACCCATGAACTTGGATTTAAGCATAAACTACTGTGCTACAGCTACTGACACTGTTTAGTTTTCTGAACCTTACAACGGGTAACAGGATTTAAACTCATTACCCAGGGGTCAATACTTGAAGATCTACAGGGATGTCACAGTTACGTAAATGACAGTAGAAAAACGAAGGGTTAACATTCCCCCAGACTGGCGAAAACATTCAAGGTAACGTCACATATGTTTAGAAAGCAGGTGACGTTTCTAATCAATCCAATAATCTGAAAGACAGGGTGACGTGTTTCACTGGGGATACTGGTCAATTTTTCGTGCAAATTAAGGTTCCCTACTCGAACTCAGGCGATCGCTCAAAGGCTTGGAGAAGTCATTTAAGTGACGGTAACCAGTGATATTCACTGAGGATGCTTACTCTCACTATTCCTGCCTAACTTGTTTATAAACGCGCTGAAAGGTATAACCCCATGTAACTCCGACTTCTAAGGGTTGACTTACTCCCTGGATGATAACTAGTTAGCCTGGAGTAGGCAGATAAACTTTTTCAGTTAAGCGAATCTCCAACAGAAATGTACCGTCTTGAGAACGCCTTGGGTAGAACACCTGAGTACGGTCAATACGCATTTAGGACTTTGTGACCTGATGCTTCAGAAATGGTTTGTGCTAACTCCTAATCAAGAGATAGGGAATGGTAGAATGAGTTGGCCACTTCACCTACGAGGACAGTTGCATTAGGTCGGATGGGTTGGTTGCTGACGAATGTTTAGCAGCGATACAAAAGCCCACTTGACAGTTATCAACCTATTTCATCTTTGGAACAAGTAAGGTATTAGACTATTTTTTTAAAATTAATACACCATGCAAAAGTCTGTCCTGTTCTATTATACGAACGGAAAACTTACACTGAGAGAAAAAGATGAGAAGAGTTTAAAGGTTTCTCTGCGTTTAGTGGGATCCCAACATCAGATATGTAGAGGTTAGGCGGAGGGTACTATGCAGGGGAGGTAAATCAGTCGATAAGGTTGTGAACTTTTACCGACTGAGATAGCCTTGACATGTGTTGTCCATCCCGAGGCACAAGTCAACTCGATATGCGATGTTACCCGAAGCAGGATTACAATGGAAGGAAACTAAGGCTGGCCAGACCAAGACATGTCATCAGTAAATGAATTCTTTGACTATTGGTCTGAGTGACGTACGGAAGTGTCGGTCACCTGACTGAAGTCCTTAAGATGGTAGAAGTTGAAGGTTGGAGACTTGGTGATGACTCAAAATCTATCAAAATGGTGCAGATGTATACATGAATTTTCGATTTCTTGTCTACTTTCACTAACTTTCATCTCCTAAATGTCGTTCTTACCGTAAACTTTTGTAAGCCTTAATATCACTTTCCATTCACCTTTCCTTCGCCTGCTAGTGTGAAGTACGGCAACTGGCACTTCCCTGCTAGCTTTTACTGATTTGCCAGCCTATGCAGAAATCCTTACCAGGAAAGTTGAAATATTAAAAAAGTTCTAGGTCAATCGTTAATATGGTCTCCGACTACATTCGGGGAGTCAGGATATACCAATACAACTATTCTTTCCTATAAAGCATGAATATAAAACTGGATTCGGCAGCATTTAAATCATCCCAATACCACCAAAAGGTGATCAGCATAGAAACCTTTAACTTAAGTTCGAAACAAGTTTCAGTAGCCAAATTCGAAGCTTGATGAAGAACTTATTGGATACCAAACCCCATTTCGCTCCTATATACCGAGCTGTGAATTAGAATTACGTCCACGGTGTTTTTTCTGTATGCTGACAGCTATACAGGCGAAACAGTTGGACGTTTTTCACTTGGAAATAACTACCGTCATAGGGGTACGCTACAAGCAGTATTAACGAAGCGCTGAACACGTTTTATATTACAATCACTCATCTTGCTGTCGTTGATTCAGAATAAGCAACCAGCTTCTGATATCTGCTAGATGCAACTGCTTTTTCTATCTTCACTGCACACGATGACTACCTACTTTTTGGTTGGTATTGATGATGATGATGATGGTATCTTAACGAGTTATATAATTTTTCAGTGAACAGCAAGTGAAAATTACACCACGAAAGAGATGTAAAAAGGTTGCAGACTAACAAAAGCAGAGGTTTATGGACTAAACGTTATTGTAGATGTGAGGCAGTCTTACTAAACTTTAGCGCAGCTAGTGGTCTATAGATTAATGACTGATCGACAACTGATATTCTCTCCATGTAGGTTTGATACTTAATTACCGTTTCAATAGCTACTAAAATTTTCAAGCTAATCTGTTTAGAAACAGTTTTGTTAATCCCGGTAACGCAAAATGAACTAGCATATACTTAAGCATAATCTAAAACCGAACTTTCTTGTTATGAAACGGATAAGTTATCTTGAAAGATTACCCTCAGTTCTGCATGTATACTAGTAAACCCAACCAGAAACCAGTTCACTTGTGTGAATAATAATGAATGGTGTGAACATCACAGGAAAGTAAAATCAACAAAACATCCGGTAGTGGTACATTACAGTCGTAATTGCCACATCTCATGTCTGGACATCAAACGAGAATGTGCTAAGATGAAAGATAACGAAAGGAGCTAAAAGTGACAGAAATCCACCGAAAGAAGGTAGTGACAATTGGGAATACTAAAATTCAGTCCGGCGATTAAAATGATCCGTGAACACATCTAAGCCACTGAGATCTATTCCGGGCTATGTGACATACCAGCCAACATTTACGCATCCCAAGATAATGGGACATGTCACCACCTGTAATGAAAACTCGGAGCAAAAAGAACGATTACGCAACAATCCCCTGGGTATTTCCATCCCCGTGTTTCCACGCGAAAATGTTGACTGGCTGGAGTATCATACCGTTGGTTTCCTTGAACCCACGAACTCTAATTCGGAGGTCTGCATCCCTCTACACTGCTTACACCAACAGTCAAAGAATTCGTGTACTGAGGCCTTGTTTTATCTAGCTGCCCCAACCGTTTTCCAGCCTATAATCACTTCAGCAAGCACTGAGAGACAAGCCAGACAGGGCTGATCATCAACAACAACTAGTAGGTTGGAATACTGCTGATCGTCTTGAGACATATTCAATTTCTCATATAAGTCCATATTAAAATGTAATCAAAAGCTTTCAGGACGCTCTACTCACGTGAAGAAACAGCGCAAACATTTGAAGTTTCCGCTTTTATGACGCTCGATTTTTCTGAGGAATCTTTTTCATAAATGAGGCATTTCGTTTACGACTGGGAATGTTAAGTCTTTTGTATCTGTCCCAAGAAACCAAACACTGCCAGACCATTCCAAAACGGATGCCTCTTACATCCAACTGCAATGGTGCGAGTTGAAGAAACTTGTAGTTTTTGAGCTCCCGCTTCTAGGTCCTTAGGCTGGGTCCCTTTTGTTTGGTTCCACCTCTTCGATTTTCGCAGACGTTTCTGCGTTTTTCCTGCCTATAACTTTGAGGATAGGGATTTTTTATTCGAAGATATCTTTCTTGTAAATTTTAGCTTGGTTTTATTTTGTGTTGATGGAGGGGGGTTGATGGAGCTACTGGTAAGATCAATTACCCTCTCGCGAGTCCTGTTTTTGTAGGCCCCTGAAAGCAACCACTGAGCATTACCTAATAAGGGCCAGAAATTAGATGTATATTCACTGGGAAAAAGAGGAGTGAAACGTACCTTTGGAAAGACAAGTGCCACTGGTAATAATATGGTGAGGGGATGCATCTTATTGCGGATACCGATGTTGGAAAGTACAGGGATAGAAGAGCGCATCATCAGTTGCTACCAACAAATGTTCATGCTAAGCCAGTTGAACTCAAGTAATTGTTTGAAGGAGTGGACCGATCTAGCAGTGACTACTTCCCTCGGTAGAGCGTTCAACAAGGCATATACTGTGTATGAGAAGAAATTTGACCACACTGTCGTCTTCGTCCCGTGGTGGGGTATATGAGTACGGCTCCAAAAAAGCTTTTGGTTTTGGGCCGACGACGATGGCCTATTTGGGCGGTCCACTTGGTGAGTTATATGGTAGGCTGTTATCAGGTCACCTCGTCTCCTTCGGTGGCTTAATGGGAACAAATTGAGTTGTCTGGGGCATTACGCATATATTTTACCTGCTAGTTCGATTAGCGGCCTTGTTACTGTTCTCTGTACCTTCTCTACGCCAGTCCTCTTCATGCTGTAATCAAATAAGTCCTTCCAATCCCGGTGCAGCCCATGGTTTAACCTCACTCATCTAAGTTCTCCTTTTCTCTGCACCCTTATCGTCTTACTTAGGTGCACGTAGACTACTTAATCACTTCACTTTTTTGTCTTTTACGCACACATATTTGTTTTGCTAGGTTATCTCTTCACTCTTAACTCACACCTACCACCGGTCCAGACAACTATCTGGCAACTCGACATCAGAAGGACCCAATTGCACCACAGTCCCAGGCACACTAACCAACACCCAACCACCTGTTAAGTATGCCACAGCTAAACCAGGCGGGTGGTTGGATGCACTGAATCTGAATCCGCCAGACCTGAAACTGTTCCGCAAGACCGAGAGGCTAGCATGAAGAAATAGACTGCTTTACACAAGCTCGCTACACAGATACTGGACACCTCTACAATTAGCTAACCTGCCCATGTGGGGCGTAAAATGAAATGGTAATACCGAGCAGGGATGCTTAAGATAGAGAATGGACATTCCCAAATAAGAACATCAGGTTTTTAACTCCGGCCTCCATCTGGTCTGGGGAGGAAGTAAGCCCAGGAAACAACTCAGGCATGGTGATGCGGAAACGAGGAAGGCCAAAACTAAATCTGGAAGGGAGTCGAACGGACAGAAGACCACGCGAGCCGCTCACAATCTTGTCAAACAATCAGATGATTTACAAACGAAATATCCCGAAGTTGAGGAAAAAATGAAGTTTAACGAAAGCACAAGCGTAAAAAGCAGATAGAGCAGATCATTGTCCGGAATAGTTCCTTGATCATCGTGAACCTGGCAGATAGTTTTGATTTTCTATACGGCCCTCAGGGTAAGAGTGATGGGGTTCTGTGGGGAAACGTGTAGAAAACACAGGCTGGACTACATTGGGTCAGCAGCTGCAACTAAGTTGTCACGCGGCCCTAACCTAATAATTAGCGTTAACGCTCGACTCTAAAAGCTGGAATTTTCCAGCTCAGACGATGCTGAGAATGTGCCGCTAGCATCTCACGTTCTAATAGCTGAGGCATACCACCAGAAATCCCGCGCTCTGATAGGATGTGCGTAAAAAACTCTGGGGCGACAATCGTAATGCCAACTTTAACCGGGGGGACCCGTTAACATAAAATACACCAGAAAACCCAAACACAAAGGACAATCAGCTTCTTCAGTATCGTTACAAGCTAGTCCATTGATTTCCCTTAGTTGAGGGACTCCCGCTTTAGCCTGCCAGGATGACTCAGAGTAGCACAGCAGATTTCTCAGGTTATAAACAAACATGTTTAAAAGTCCGAGCTGATTCCGTTTCCAATCGGCTCTCACTACCCTCGTACACGAGTTTTTCACCCATTTGAATGGTCTGTATGTGTATTCGGCACCGATCCTTTCATGTTCGGCCCAGTGGCACCCCTTCAACCTAAATTGTTTGTGAGTGTGGTTTCTTATTACCCCGGACAACCTAAAGGGCTTTGGTCTTGAAAGTGGAAAAGACTGGCCGGTTGCATGAATAATTTTGTTAAGTTTGAAACTCAGGTGTATTTTTACAACCCTCTGTTCATGGTCAAATTTCAAGCCTGTCTGTTCCAGAGCCTACCGAAAGACCGGGGCATTGAGTCGTCTGACGTCCCAACGACGCTAACTGAAAGGTCCAGTTGGTTTGGTTTCACAGATGTCCTGAAAGCCTATAATCAAGCAGTCGTTCCTGCCTGAAGGTTATCAGTTGAGAAGTCTTCAACCCAGATGGGGTTTGAGTCTCCCTTGATCGCACTGCCATGCTCACACTTTCCGTAAGCGCTAGTTCCTCAATCAGATCGGAGAGGGCAACTGATTGCCTGTAGCATGTGACCATTATAATGTGACAGGCGGCTTTTTATGGGTGATTCTCAACAAGCACTTTGTAGTCCTGGGCAGCTTTATGGAGTACCAGACGGGCTCCTTGAAGCATCCTTGAGTTTGAATTTGGATTTGGTGTGCTAAGAGAACAGAGATGATATTAAGTGCTACCTCCACCCTACTAGCCTTCCTGTCATTGCGAAACAGCTTGGCTTTAGCAACTGCCGGCTCCTCTTCTGATGTGTCAGGGGAAACCCACTTCTGGGTAACGCATATAAGGTGAGTACAGATGCCACCACTTTTATGCATGCAACTTATGATATCTATTTGGAATGCACTTCCTGAGCCCTCTCCACTGTCTAGTTGGCTAGCTAAATCCTCAGGCATGGAGGCTGGGGACGTGCTTAAGTGCTGCTCATCACTGTAGAGTTCCCTGGTCCTTCCACGTTTCCTTTGCACCCTGGCAGTCTACCAGAGACATAACCATCCATAATGTTTTGCGCTTTCTTTGTAGCCCCCTCTTTCCACCCATTGCGGTGCACGCCGGCCCCAGTGAGCAGGCAAGTTCCACCCGCCAACGATGTCTGCAGTGTGGATTCTGCCGTTTGCGGGGCCGAGAAGACCACACTGATCAACCCTAGTCCTGGGTCATCGCCCATTTTGAGCATCCATAAGACGCTCCATGTTGGTACCCCTTTGAGGCTCGTGGCATCCTTACAAGTCCTTTCGTCGTTCTCCACCCAATCAGGTGCTTACGAATACCGCAATAACGGAGTAGGACTCAGCCGTTGACTTAAGCGTTGAGTTAGTATGGCGTAGACTGCTACGAAAAACACCTCTCCGGGATTAGATAAAACCCAAGCGGCGGAACTGCGGGAAGTAGCATCAATCTTATTCGAACCTTCAAGCAGGTTATTTAAGGATTCTGTAAGCCGAGGGTGCGTACCAGATCCCTAACAGTTGGGACACATAGCCGCAATCTTCGAAGGGGGCTGACGATGCTGGCCGAAAAAATACAGGAAAAAGAAGCTTTTATATCTTCCAGGGCAACAGAATAGTCAATCTGCGATGGGCTGGGAGATTGCATTGTAACGATCAACTTTTTTACGTTCCAACAACATGAATCTGGAGAAGGATACTCCTGCATTACCAATCTGCTGACTGCAGTAAATAGATGGACTAGTATCGTTGACTGTCGCGTTTGAATTGATGCTATTTTTCTAAACTTTGCCAAGGCGTTTGATAGTGTTAATCACGACTACCTTATGGATGAATTAAAAATAACTGGAATAAGACATTCGCTCGTTAACTGGTTGGCTTCATACTTACGAGGTCGTCTATTCGGAGTACAAGTGAGCTGCTCTGTTTCAAGCAACATAATGCCATAGTGGTGTTACTAAGCCTCAGCAATGGGACGTCTTCTTTCTCTGACGTACATTAGCAACTTTTCCTCACGGGTTACACCCGAAACCCCTATGGTGTGGAACTTGATGCGTCACTAACGGAGGAGGATTTAAGCGTTTTAGTCCCTCAAGACATAAAACCTTGTGTAAGCCGTGACAGAAACTCATTTCGCGGAAACTTGGGATCGATAAATCCTAGACCGATTTTCGGACAATTCAGTCACATATGTTTTCACCAAATTTTCAACAGCCCTATGCGGCCCCACCTGGAGTCCGGCACCATCATCTTCCTGCCTTCTCCGCAGGATTAATGAAGCTTAGGACGCTTACAAAGGCGCTGGGGTAAGTCTGTTCTAGGACCTAGGCCTCAAACACAAGTGAACGACTGCTTGCGCTGGACATGTATCCCCTGGAATGTGGGAGGCCAAGAGGAAACTTGCGAATGACAAAATTCTGATCACCCCTAGGCACACACTAAGTCACAAGTTTAATCCTAGCTGTAGCACCAACGCTACAGAGAATGCAGAGAACCTAAGCCCAGAACATATTAGTTAGATATTAGATACACCTTTTACTCCGTACGAGCTGTTTAACCCTGGGGTGCCCATCCCCGTAGACGAGAACCAGGCCACTCCGTCGGAACCGTTTGAAAGCCAACTGGATATTTAAGAATTGACCTGGTGCGCACTTGACATACGCAGAGGTCAGTCACTGATTATTCGTACTTTTTGTATACTCACGAATACGAGACCAGGAAAGGAAGCAATGGCATAGCCGAATGGATTAGTACATTTGCAAGGTCAGGTCAAGATGCCGATGGCTAGTGGGTCGATTACGAGCAGTACGACGTAACACAACAGCATGCTAAGCGGCATGGACGCTTGACTGGGCACCTTCAGCTCAGCGAGTCCAGTTAAACTATGCAGATCAGCATCAATGATGAATCTCATCGAACCCTAGGCTATTGATTCTGGAGAAGCGTGTGACGCTAGAGATACTTATTTGACATGTGGCTGGATTCTGTCCAGAACTAATTGAATTTTCACATTTTAACCCCCACTTTTTCCTCTTTCTACTTGTATAAAGATTAACTACCACAAGAACTGGTGATCCACGGATTCCAGACGCGAAAGCCAGTTAAGTGAAAACTTCTACTTCGTCAACAACCATTTGGCTTCGAACATTGTCCTTGGGTCTTTGTTTAGACTAACTAGCTACCTAGGTTACACGCGATGGACAAGCCACAAATAATAGGACACATTACGAAGTCTGTTGATTTCACGCTTTTTGATTGTAAATGGGTGCCAGTTAGCACTAAGTTTGTGGTTGTTGGTTCAAAACCTAGAGGTACTGGTGCTGTTCAAATTTACGATGTTTCTGCTCAAGACATAAAACTTGTTTCTGAGGTAAGAAGGAGAGTTATTTCACTAAATTCCGAAGAGTTTTTAAATGCTGCATATATGTGTATGTTCTGCACAAGCAGACCGTGGTTCGCTTGTTATGCATCCACTTAATATGAAGCAAGAATGAAATATATACTATGGGTTGGGTTGATCAAGAATGCTTGAAATAAACGTGTTGTACACACTTAAATGTTCTGTTAGATTGCATCATTGATATCATAAGCAATGTCCACGTCGTCGATTCACCTCACAGGAGATAACTGAGCAGTCACAGAGATGTGCTGGAAAAGAACCATTAAAAGTTCATGTATGAACGATGGCCTTCCATCTCCGAACTGCGAGTCTGTAAGTGTGTAAGTGTCTGTCAGCTGTTTTCATCCTTTGGGAAGGAGCAACTAACTCTGATATCAAGGTGAAGGACACTTACGTGGTTTTTGTTATTAGATGCAGCTTTTCATCGGTCGGTTGCTACAAGGACGTCAGTCATACACCTATGGCCTTTTTGAAACAGTGCCATTAGTCTGTATTGAAGGTTAACTACAAGGAAGTCACATAAGTCATCATAAATTAGTGCTTGTCATATTTTCGGCTTGTGAAAGAGTAAGTGTAGTCCCCATAATTTCCCACGATTGAGGAAAGTAGCCGTAGAGTAAATATATCACGAACAGCAAACCAAGACGACTTCAGTGTCCCCACACTTTATTTCGGTATATTAGCATGTATGCTATCGACATCTCAACTAACATCGGTTCTTAGCATTGCTAGTTTTCGGTATATAGAGTCAAGTGGAGCCGTGGCTCGTTGATATAGGGAGTTGACTTTTAATCAGCGGGTCACGGGTTCAAACCCCTCTCCACCTACCTAAGTTTGGACAGCCAGGTAGTATCATTAGTCCTAACACAATAGGTGTGGCTCATCACTTACTACACAAATGTGTTTAGGATTGCTAAGTGCGTTTCTATATGGGGTCAATTATCTGGCTCATATCATTTAACCGTGTCAGTTGACACCAGGCAGTCCTACAATCATCTATGCTACTTTCATTCGAGTGTATTTTAGATTCTTTACTTATTAATTGGCATGCCAACCCAGTTACTCAAGTGCCTAATGAAAGAGCTTTGCGTCTCACCTTCAGAAGACTAGCAATATACTGAGAAAACGTTTTCGGTGATCTGGGAATCGTGCTGCCTACCTATTCTGGAATTATTTGATGTATTGTCCGAATGGAGTATTGTACTGATTCCTAGTATTTTATACTCTCCCCAAATTGTAAGTGTTTTTGGGTGGCGGAATGCAAACCATGTTTGCTAAGTTTGATGCGTTTGAGAGTGGTTACTTACAGTTTACGATTTAAATTACTTAGGAACGGATTTGGGTGCTGCCGGTTATAAATCTTTTTAGAGTACACTGATTAGAAACTTATTGCAACTCTCAAGGCTCATCATTTGGAATCACTTCAGACTTGTAGTACTCAAAAGGTCTATGAGTAGTTTTATAATGACTTTCTTGTAGTTGTACATATTTTCCATTGCTCATTTTGATATCAGTGTTAAGAATAAAGTTGAGTGAGTTTACAATGCGATTGCTAGGCCTGTGTTAATAATAAGATGGTCTATTCGGACTTAAGTAAGTGGACATTGAACTTTAGAAGACACAAATCCCCCTGCATCTATTTAAACTGTCTTCATTTCCTACTAAGGTGCATTCTATCATGACCATGCGTAGCCTGTTGGAGGTGAAGTTTTCTTGGCATATGAAGGGCTTCTGTGAATTTTACTGATAGGAAGTTATAAACCATTCATTTTAATGGTACTATTACTCACACGCTCCTCTTCACTGTCTTAATAATCATAGGCTAGACCAGCAGGCGTTAAGTAGTAGGTTTCGCCTACCGAGTACTTGTTGTAGGGTCCCAAATGAATGGATGCACCAAGGTTATAAAGCTTTCTGTTTTTATTTAGTGGTACTAACGGAAGTATGAATACATATTCCTGAGCCACCTTTAGATTTGGCTGTCACTTCTAAATATGTCCACACCACCTATTTTTATTCCTGAGTTGCCTGTTTTTGTCGTCCATAACTGATAGTTTGCACTTTTCCTCCTTACATAATTATCTTTTTTGTTTAGTATTCGTTGGCAGTTAATGTAGATGCAATCAACACTGAATATCTGGTGTTGGTTTACTTTTAGGGTCACTGGTATCAAGTTGTTGACAGTACTGACCCTTGCGGGATATAGCGCGTCACTCTATGAACCAAGGTGGTTCTGTTTACTGATACATTACATCTTTTGTTGACTGTTTTTAGGTTAGGTAAAAAAGCAGTCTTTACTTCTTGCTTTAATTGTATTTCTGCAAATGGCTTGTCAGAATTTATTCATGGACCACCCTAAGACCAACCACGTGCTACTTAGACCATTTTCGCAACTAAAATAGTGTGAGCAGACATGGCTCAGTGGTCTCATTATATGGAATCAGTTTACTTAGTTAGTCTTGAAAGTAAGGAGGGCCACTAAAGGAGGTAATTTTAGTTTATTACTCAACTCGCCATTGAAATCATTCTAAAAGTGTCTTCAAATTCACGTAAGTCTTGATTGATAAAACTATCACTTTTAGCGACCGTCATATTTTGTATCGTACTGTCATATTGGTTTTTATGGTACTTTTGGTGGTTATTCTTACCTTTTTATCAGTGTTTTTGTCTTTTGAAGTCGATAGTACTTGGAGTAGAACACTAGACAGCAAGAACGATGGGTAACTTTGACAGAATCACCAGTTCTAAGCTCCATTTCTCCATTTTTGGCACACTAAAAGTGACGAAGTCGTTGACAATATTTGATTTACAACTCAATGCTTTGAGCTGCAGGGAGTTATTAAGAAACATAAGTTTTTAAAATTTTGAGTCAGCACAAAAAGCTGCTCACTTTCATGGTCTGTTTAGTTATTTGCCTGTAGTTGTGCATTCAGCCCTGCACATACTTTAAGAGCTGTCAAAAGTGAAAATGTTATGTAACCAGTCATACGATGACTTTCAGTATAAATCTTATTGTGCGAAATAGTGCACAGTCATTGGTTCTGTCTTAGCCACATAGGTTACTAATGTGGGTCATCAGTAGCTGTTGCTCATTGGACTAAGCACTCAGGCTACTGCTAGTGGGTTACGGGCTCCAACTTCACTCCACCCACTAAGACTCCAGCATCCAGTAGCACCATATTTCTCAGACAGTATGACTCATTGTCTAGTACATACGAGTTTACCTAATTGTTGCTGAAAAGTTAATAGCTAAAGACCCTCAACGTTATAGTTCAAATTCTCATTGTATCACAGATGTACTCACTTTTCTTGTTTGGAATAGTTAACACCTTATTAGTTTTCACTTATTCGTCCGCACATCGTCCAAGCCTCTCTTCTAGTTCATTTGAGTGTATTTTGAACCTTCGTTTGTGCTTTTTCGAAGTGCAACAAAGTGAATAGGTTAACTTGGGTCAGCTCTTCGCACCTGCGGGTCTGTCGATAGTATTGGATGCAGTAGTGTAGTGAATAATATGCGAGTAAAAGATGACTAGGCAATCACATGTCGTTAAGGTGACGTTTGCTTACTTCTATTTGTGCCTAGTTTCACGAAACCTGAGAGAACAAAATTAAGTGAATTGAATAAATTCTTGATTCTGTTATTTGTCTGGCGTCGTCGGTACCGTATTAAAAAAGAATCTATCTTCCTGACTTTATTGCTGCTGAAAGATGTAGGGGAGCCATACAATTCCTCTTAATTTATACTGTCGAAGGGAAACACCTGTGATGTGTTGACTAAGTTTTAAGGAGTGTTGTATAGAGTATGATGCATTCACTTCGGTTAATTTAGAAGATCGGCGACAAATTACATCAGCTTTGTCTACTATGATATGGTGTAGCTTGAGGTTGTCAATCTAGGAATTTGTTATTGTGATAAATAAACTTTTGCACGGATTTAGAAATTCATAATGCTGTTCATGATCTTTCAAGTGAGATATTGATTGATCTATATGTGCAATACGTGGTTCATTCAACTATCCGTTTATGTGATTGTTTACCAATATTTTTCATTCTTTCAGAGTGAAAAAAGCAGTTCGTTTAAATGCTGCACTTTTGGTGCTTCTATGCTTCCTCAAAGGCATCTGGCTACGGGAGCATTTAATGGCAGATTAGCAATATGGGACGTCGGTGGTGATTGGCGACTCGACTCTCCAGTTTATGGTGTTCAAGCTCACAAAGAGATAATAAATGCCATAGACGGTGTTGGAGGTCTCGGTGTTGGTGAAGGAGCTCCAGAAATAGCCACTGGTAGTCGAGATGGTGCAGTCAAGGTATGGGATCCAAGACAAGCCAAATTACCAGTTGCAACTATGGAACCTGCTTCTTCTAAAAGCGTAGAAGATTCAGTTAATGAGAATAGACGAGACTGTTGGGCTGTTGCCTTCGGTCACGCATATAACAAACATGATAGATGTTTAGCTGCGGGTTATGATAATGGTGATATTAAATTGTTTGATCTAAGAGCTATGAAAGTCCGCTGGGAAACAAACATCAAAAATGGAGTTTGTGGCCTGCAGTTTGATAGGAAAGACATATCTATGAATAAGCTGGTTGCAACTACTCTCGAAGGAAAGATACACGTCTGGGATATGCGAACACAGCACCCAAAGAAAGGATTTGCATCACTAGTGGAAAAAAATCAGGGTGCGACTATTTGGCAAGTCAGTCATCTGCCTCAACAACGTGACATATTCATGACAGCTGGTGGCAATGGATCATTGTGTTTATGGCAGTATCACTATCCTAGTAAACGTCAAAAGATAATAAAAGAAGTAGATCCAGAAGGGAAAGGTGATATTGAAGTTGCTCAAGGCATAATTGGTCACTTAACACAACTCCAAAATTGTACTTTATCCACTCAACCGATATGCAGCTTAGACTGGTGCCCAGATAAATTAGGTTTGGCTGTGTGTGTTGCATTTGACCAAGCAATCAGAATCCTTATTGTTACAAAGCTTAATAAACTTTGAAGGAATTATCTGAAGTCCTTGTATAGGTTCTGATACATAATATGTATATATTGAAGATGAATTCTTTGCTGTTTTTCTCTTTTATCGAACCGGGTAAACTTACTGAGTCTCTGGGGCAATATACGATGGTACCTCTTAAATAATAAACCAGTTACAGCTTCCTCGCCTTGCAACAGTAGCAAAAGAGAAAATCAAAGCGAGTGGTTGGATAGTAAATAATAACAAATTACAGTTCCACTGCGAAAAACATAAGGAAATGAAATAGGATTATACTACACCACAGTGCACAAATTCTACCCTTATGTAGATGGGATAACTAATTATAAGACTGATATAGATAGGCAAGCGACAAATGAAAAGTCAGGACTTTCAAAAGCTAGGACCCATTTATCAGTTGTTGCTTACTTATATCTCTGGGACCCCATGTCAGCTACCGACTAACTGACACCAAGGAAATTAACGTAGAACCTCGCACACAGGTGTATTGGTTCAAGGTGTGACACTTCACAGTGGTGCACAAAAAATAGGTGGATAAAAAAATAGTTATATCAAAGTAGACAAAGTTGTTTGAGAGAATAAACAATATGAATATGATATCTGGTTTGTAGGTGTAGAAGATATTTTGTTGAAATATAGAACCAATTGAGCATTCCTTTGTGTTGCTGGCGGATGTATAACCTTTCTTAGTCATACCGTGCTATTTGTATTAGTTTCCTATTTCTATGCTGTTTCAAAGTATGGATATTTGAAGTAATGTACTTTTGTGTTGATGACCTTCTCTAAAGTTTATCTGAAACAATGTCCAGGTGACCCGTATATCTTCATGATCCGTCAGGTTTAGTAGCATTTCTTTAGATGACATATGCCTGCAGCTCGAAAACAGTTTGTTTTAGTTATTGTTAGTCAAAAAACGGCAAGAAGTACTGAAAAATTGTGTTGCCACAATACGCAACTTACTGATTGCTTTATGTCACTCATTGGGTTAAGACTGACTATTCTCATATTATACAGTGCACATACTACTCTTACATCATTAGACAGTCACATTGTATTTTGACGGTAAAGTGCTTATCACAAGCCTAAATGATGAAGCCAGAAGTATAAACCTAAACCAACTGGGTAAGTAAATGTGGTCTTATGTGCTGTATCCCGTACTTGCTGTATGACGGCTAAAGAACTCATTTTTTTTTGAGAAAGGTGGAATGCATTTGAGCGTATTAGCGAGTAAGATCAATTGTATGGATACTAGAGATATTCAACTAAGTGTGGTGTTTGAATATTTTCCTCAATTTTTCATAGCTGTTCAATGTAAAGCAAATTTATTGAGTAGTATTGGTGAGATAACAGTAATAATGTCAGTAATGCAATGCACTTGAAACGTCTTCTTTTCATAACTTGAAAATCCTCCAGGTGGTCTATCCCCGTGTTTATGATACAAAGAACGGGGATACTGTATTTATGGAGAAGGACTTGATTTATTTCTGTGTAGACTTCATATTTTAACGAAAATTTCAACTAACTGGGATCAAAATGTATTGATGAAAGCAAGATCAGAGGATTATTGTATTGGCGCTTCTGAAACCTTGGCTCGCAGTTTTCGTGGTGTATAATTCTTGTGATCTATAACCTAAAAGTGAAATTTCAGCAAAGCACCACTAATTATTGAAATCTATGATAACGTTGCTGTATTCGATCGCTTTTCATTCTTTTATATACAAACTAAAAGGAACACTAGGTATATACGGGTGAATGAAATTTATATGCCTTAATGTAAATTGAAAGGAGATAGTTCATTGGTAGTGAAGAAAAACAGTGGAATCACTAAAGTTCTAGATGAACGATGCGTTTTGTGTAACTGGTGATAGATAATTTAATTTATGGAGAGTTTCATACGAGTGCTCTTTCTTTTTGCATAACTTGGATTTCGATTATTTGCTTACCCGTTTGAAATAGAATACGTTTTTCGAGGGTTAAAATGATGGTAATAATAGGCTTATTGATCTGTGGCGTCAAGCAGATTGGGTGTGAGGAAGAATACTTCTCAAAGGTGTGGGGTGATGGCTGTGAAATAAAAAAACTGAGAAACGTGAACTATTGGATTATGAAACAGTAAACAAGTAGAAACTTTATTGTGAGGTCTGTCAGTTTTGAACAGGATACTGATGGTTTACACTTTAAACGAAGATAAATCGCGTGTCCAGTGCTTCTAGACTGATTCCGATATCTCTATGAATCACCTTAGAGATGAACACAATATGATTAAACTGTTTAGAGGCTAAATGCATATAAACTGGTGGGGGTGACTCTACTAGGAATGTGTATTCAACGACCACTAATATATACATGAAGAAGACATTATACTGCAAAAGTAGTAGTATTCACTTACTTCCTTGCGCAATCTTCTTTAACATTTTACGGAACAAGTTACACATGATAGGCGTAGAGGATTATAAGATGTTCTTTTCCTAGTTTGAATGATTAGAAGGTATCTTCTTTAGTTTCCTTGACTGTCTAATGCTGGTGCTCTGATTTATATTTGGATTTTGGTTCAACATTTGCTTCATTCATCAACAAAGCTCGAAACAGTATGCAATGGTGAAAAACAAGCAGTCTTTATATATAACCATTGGCTTCAGTTGATGAGTACTAAAGTGCCTGCTGCTTGTAACACTTCAAGTTTTAAATCTATGGAGATTGCAGTCGAAAAACAACGTCAGTGGATAAAGTGATGTGGAAACAAATACCATCTAGAAGAGAATTCGAATAAAGTGTGAATGCATATATAAGCATTTCACTCATATTACTGAATTAATTCACGTGATATCCCTTAATATGTATTATGAGGTCACTTTCAATAGCTAACAGATCTCTTCCCAGTTGGAATAGACAATCAGACGCTAAGTTACTTCTTGGTAAGCAGTAATGTGATCTGCTTCGATCATTTTCTGTTAGTATTGTTATCGTGGAACTGCCTTAGTGGTTTAAGGAGATGACTACCGAGACCCGCTCCACTCACTGAGGTTTGAGCAGCCTGGTAGTATCACTAGCCCTCACTCATCAGGTGTGGCTCATTTCCTACTGCATAGATGTGCACAAGGTAGCTGAGTATTTTTACCAGTGATAGATAACTGTTATATGTATGCAGAATATAAACGCTAAATGCGTTATCAAATAACTCTCTCTTAAATCAGATAACCCTCTTACCTTGGCACCAGTGCAATATAGACAGTAGTAACTAGATCATAGTTATGCAGCAAAGACTGATACAACTAGTGTCAGCGAGATATCACTGAATCCGTACTACGACATAATGTAGTCAACTCTAAGATATAATTACTGAAGTATCCATTTTCGCATCTTAACCTGCTTCAAAACCACTCAATTACAGCTAACGAGAATAAGTATAGGTATTCAAGAAGTAAACTGAACACAACATGAACCTGGAATGTCAATTTCACTTATTTGCTATTAAACAAGACACTTTTTGAGTAAATTTAGGAGTTAAGTTTGTATATCTGCCAATATTGAACCAAACAATTTGCATATATTTATTTTAATGGGTCAGTTTTCAATCAGCTTGGCGAATTCAACTAATTTCCATGTTCTACTTTCACTATTTCTGTCTTTATTTTGGGCTGTCAAAAACAGAAGAGAAAGCGGAAAATAAAATAATCTTATTTTATTTTGTAAATCCAATTACATTCTTTTCGCTTCCTTAAATGTCATTTTTTGGTACTTCTTTTAGAATCGAATCATGAATTAATCAGTCTGAATTTAGCATTCACTAAAACTAGTACTTCAGAAGGATGCAAGCAGAACACAGATTGTAATATGTATACTTCATTCAGTCGCAAAACACACGTTATGCAATCATTTCAATAAGTCGCAATCACAGCATTGCATACCTATATTTACACCAAAACAGTTACCATAGCAAAGACTAGGTTATATTTAAAAGACAACTAATAAAGCATGAGTCATAGTAGAGGAGTACAACAATGATCAATGAGAACTGCCGTTATACATGTAGGCAATTTTCATAATACGCCCAAACAACTCATACATGTATCACAACTATACGAACAGTGATGAATCATCATATTTTCCATGTATCTTACTTTTCATATTGTTGCTGTTCTCGCTTACGTGTTACTTTAGAGGCTACTCTAGCAACTGCCAAAATGAACAATCAGATTTTGGTTGGGAAAATGATTTTTCATGGAATAGAGCAAAGTAGTTGATTATCTCAGAGATAGTTAGGGTGGCCTTTGCAGTAAACCTTGTCTATCCTACAACCTATGTATCAACCTGACCTAAACAAATGGATTCGATTACATGCTGGAACTTAGGTCGAATGGCAGTACCGATCAGTGGGTAAATAAGTTTCTGATAGGGCTTGAATCGGCCGGGATGTTCCAGCTACATCATCCTCACCATTTCAAATATCCTGTTAACCTTTAAGTATTTATTTTCTCTGATGATCTATTGTCATAGTTAATTGCAATGTCTTGTTGATTGTTTTCAGTTTCTCGAGTGACTTTAAACGTCGCCTATAACAACAACTGAAGTAACCGATCAGGCTTCTCTATGTATTTTAGGAAGCCAAGTTTTCACAAACTAACGAAGTTTGATTGGTTATTTCAGTTGTTGTTAGGGTAACCTTTGAAGTCATTTGCTTCCTTTTAGCACACATTTTCGAAGTGTGCAACCGAAATCGATCCACTTTTGTTCAAGGTTCCATGGATCTATTAATGTATTTCAAACTTTTTTATACTCAGTGACAGTTCTTCACATAGCAACAGTCTTAGGAGCACAGACTTACTTATCGGAGAACAAGTTTGATCATATTTTTTAGCCTGAAAGTGTAAGTTGACTCCATCGATCGAGAACTACCTTGATTATGAAGTGAGTACCAAACAAATCTTATGCTAATTAGGGCTTTCTACTTGATTTCATGGCTGAAAGTGGATGATACGAAGGTAATAAGATTTTGACCAAAGGTTTCCTCGTAAGAATTGCTCAAATATGGTATCTGAGCCGTGTATGAAGGTGTAGACTGTCTGACAAGTGGTCTTCGAGGTGATAAGAATCAGTGGTTGGAGACTTGATGAGATCACTTCATATCAGTCACCATAGCATAGGTGTATACACTCTTTGGTACCTTCAAAATCTTGAGTATTCTCACCAGCCTTTATCTATTTACAGTTTATTCTTCATACACTCCTAGCAACTTTTATATCATTCGTTTACCATCGATCTTTTCTTTGCATGCTGCTGAGAAGTGTGGAAATTCAGATTCACCTCTGTACCAGATTCTATACTGGTTTGTCTCTATTTCTAGTCTATCTGTTGAACATATTCACTTAAGTTGCATGACTTCATTTTTTATGCAGAATGGAATTTTTATCTTATCATCGTTTTGTTTCTTTTCCACTTATGTTTACTCTGAGTAGAAAATTCTAAATGTTCAGGATGATAAATGTATCATGTGAAATTTGTAAGATGAGCATACGTTCACATTACATTTTACACAGGATTAATTATTAAAAGGTAAATTTCAGCAGATCTTAGGTTTTAAGTGCTAACCATAATCTATAATACGACCACCACATCTAATACAACACATATAGTTAATCGAAAGATTGACATTTTCAAACTCAAAAGTCATATGTATATTATCTTTACAAATTTATGTTTACATGTTTATAAAAAAGAACAAGTCAGAGGTAAGCAAGTACTTTATACATGAATAATCATAATAAGCGTATGATCTCAGGTATAAATATGCACAACCAATGAAGCTGTTCCGGATGTATGAAGTAAAAACAAAAGTTAATAAATCGAATAAACTTTTCCTTGGGCAGAACAGAGATTATCACGAAGTGAGATTTTATTGTTGCTGTTTCTTGCACTAGACTTAGAAATTAATTATTTCGAGGAGTGACATTGAGTTCACGCAGTTGACGAATAATATCATCTAGCTTTTTCTTTCGACCTCGTTCCTCCTTACGCATAGCTTGAAGGAATCCAGTACGCTTTTTATCAGCCTCGCGAACACGTTCTAGTAATTTAATTGCTACACTTGGTGGAACACGGTCATACGGACTTCCTATTTACCGAAACATAAAACACAAAAAGACATGACAATCGAGAAATGTTTACAAGCTTTATATTCATAAAATTGCATTTTATAAATTAAGTACTGATTGAAAAGGAAAGGGTGTTCCTGAATAGAAGACCCTTGGAGTGCATGGAACTTATGGTTTGGGATTTCGGTGATTCAGTAAAGCATATTCTACTATAACAGTAAAATTTCAGATTGGAATGAGTGACTGAGTGTTTTGTATTTATCATTTATGTATCACTTCATTAAGCCACTTAGAGAATAATGTAATTCCAAGAATATAGAGTTTGACAAATATTTTGATGTTTCACTTTAATAACTTAAGATGAATACAGTCCACATCTCAATAATAAGTAGCTAATTACAACAGAATAAGGGTGTGAGTATATGTAGTAGGCAAATGAACTCATATTTTCACAACCACGAAAAACTCTATAGTTCTTCAGTGTCCCCTTTGATGCATTGGACAGGGAGACTTTAAAATTGCCAGTAAAGCATTACCAAAATGCTCTGCATTCATATTTTGATGCACACACTGGAACTTTCAATGAAAACTAAGAGGAAAAGACTAAATACTATCATGTCACTTAGTTGCTATCGACATCTAACTATCATCAAGGTATAAAGCGTAAAGATCTGCTTTATACTTTTAACTTCAATAGATTACAGAAATCAGTCAATAGCTTTTCGACTCAGCAAATGCAATATGTAATCCATAATGCATTTGTAGTTTATTAGTTTTAATATTCATTCTTCAACTAGTAAGTCATGTGAATTGAACTGTGCTCCACTTATCGAAGATAAGATAACTAGGTAGGCTTTAGCTCGTGGTGTAATACACCGACCGATAGCTGCTACCTCGACGTGGTGGTCAGGCTTGCATATCACAATGACCCAACGAGCTATGCTGGTGCAGCACTTGTTCCCTCGAGGTCCTACTATATCACAAAGGTCTGTTGGATAGTGGTTAGATGAAAGGCAGTTACCGTTGTGGTGTAAATTACTACACTATGATGGGGGTTTGAGGGCGAAGTCGTACTGCTGCTAGCTGGATGGGGTGTGACTGCAGTAAGGTGTTTCCCTTGGATAACCAGCAGTGCCATGCTGATGCTGCCTTCTCAGTGGAAGGGGGGGTTAGAAAAGGTCGGCCCCAAAAATAACACACTCCACCATACCCCACAGTCTGCCGGGCCGGCGGTGTTGGTTCACTTGTCATTTCCTTTCGACCATCCGGCCCCAAAAATACAAAAGTTCAAAATAATCACACTCAAAAGGTTACGTGTGACAGGCCTCAAGCAATGTCCAATGGGCTCTGCGGTCACACAAATCTCTTTCAGGTACCTTAAGAAGAAATAGCTTTCCACTGTGTAGGCAGCTGGGAAGTGTCAACCGCCCTCACAACTCTATCAGCACTCAAGTTTCCTCAGACTGCTATCCACCTCCCCCTAATTACCTCCTAATCTTCCTTCATGTCTCCCAATTAACAACACTACATCATCTTCAATTTCTCCTAGTTCTGCAGCCTTCGACAACGATGAGTTCACAGAACAGCATCCTTGGTCTCCTTAAACCATGCCACAAATTACATATTGGAGCCTTCAATGGTTACTTTTCGAGTGCACAAATTTCAGACATAAAGAAAGACACTGTATGACCTGGCGTCCACCGAGCTCGACTCAGCAATGGACACAGATAGACCACATTGCTATTAGTCATCGCTGGGGAGGATCGGTGGAAGACTGCCGCTCCTTCTGGAGTACGTGTTTGGATAGCGATCATGCGTTGGTCCGAGCACGTATATGCCTGCGTCTCAATGGACGTAGAAAAAATTTGGCAACAAAACCACTACGAGTTCTGCTGGACAACGAAAACACTAAAGCCGTGTTCAGTGAGAAGTTGGCTACGCAGTTGTCGGAACAGAAGACTGTCACTCATCCAGAAGAAGCTTGGTGCCATCTTCAGTCTGCTGAAAAAACAGGGCTGAAGACCGTAGCCGATTCCGAAACAGTGGTTAAAAAGAGCCAGTGGATATCAGCAGCTTCTTCCGAACTAACGGATGCACATGAACGCATCCCTGCAGGCTCTGAGTACAATGAAGAGCGAGTGCAACTCAAAAGTAGATTGAGAAAAAGTCTACGCAACGATCGCGAACAGTGGTGGGCAGTGAAGGCTAAAGAGATGGAAAAGGCAGCGGCGATCGGTAATATTAGACAGTTATTTAGACGTATTAAGGAGACTGGGGAGAAAAGGCCAGCAACAGTTAGTGAGATTATAGTGGAGAAGGACATATCTGCGATTCACTCGTAGGGGAGACGACTGAAACGACAGGCAGAACACTTCGAGGAGCAGTTTAACTGGCCTCCAGCCACCATTGTGTTGCCCGCTATCCAGTCGGATCCTGAGCGGAACACTGAGACAGGTCCCCCAACACTAGAAGTCAAGAAAGCAGTAAGTAACCTGAAACGAGGAAGGTTGGCAGGACCAGAGGGACTAACTCCAGAGGTACACAAGGATGGTGGTAGAGTAATCATAGTCATTTTAACGGAAGTGTTAGCCAGTATATGGGAATCAATTACGATCCCCTCTGACTGGTCTAATTCACTCATCATCCCAGCTTTCAAGAAAGGCGAGAAGTCCTCTTGTGATAACCACAGAAGAATCAGCCTGACGAACATAGTGTCTAAGATCCTAGGTTCTATAATTCTCCGACGCCTGAGTGGAGCTCGAGAACAACAAGCCCGAGAAAACCAGGCAGGCAGGCTTTAGACCTGGCCGTGGATGTATCGACCAAGTATTCACACTGCGCCAGGTTTTGGAACACAGACACGCTTACCGGCGCCCGACACTGGCTGTATTTCTCGACCTGAAGGCGGCATTCGACTCCGTTGATCGAGAAGTCTTATGGCAATGTCTCTCACTGAAAGGCGTGCTGAATAAGTATAACACTTTATTGAAGGCTCTCTACTCCAACACTTGTGGGTGTGTTAGAGCCTATGGTGGGATGTCAGGTGAGCTGTATTCACCGAGTGGTGTCCATCAAGGGTGCCCACTCTCTCCATTCTTATTCAATTTTATCATCGATACTCTTATGGATGTTTCTTTCTCGTCACCTAATTACACAGAGGTTGACCTAATCGCAGGAGAATTTTCATTAGACCTAGAATCTGCAGATGACATAGTCCTGTTAAGTGAAGACGCCGATAAGATGCAAAGTCTTCTGGACGCTTTGAGTGGCAATTTGAGAATGTTTGGGATGCGATTTTTACCACCCAAATGCAAATTTTTGCTCCAGGAATGGTCTTAAACGGTCCCACGGCTAACAATAGGGAGTGAAGTGGTTGAGTGTGTCGACTAACAAGCAGGATCAGCCCCGGTGGGTCAGTTTCTGATGAAATCTCTGCACCGATACAAAAGGCTCGATTGGCTTTTGCCAATTTGCGCCACCTATGACGCTGCCGTGATATTCGTTTGTCTATTAAAGGTCGCGTGTACTGCACAGCAGTCCGGTCTGTTCTACTATATGGCTGTGAAACATGGCCATTGAAAGTGGAAGATATCAAAAGGCTTCAGGTGTTTGACCACCGTTGCCTTCGCAGTATAGGCTGTATTCCGCGGTGTCATCACGTAAGTAATGTAGAAGTCAGGTATAGAGTTTAAGGGAGTAGAGGTAAATCTGTTGACGAGGTTATGAACCTTCATCGACTGAGATGGTTGGGACAAGTGCTGCGTATACCTAGTCACCGATTGCCTCGTCACACAATGTTGGCCGAAGTAGGTCCAGGCTGGAAAAAGGCCCGAGGTGGCCAGACTAAAACATGGCACCAATGTATGAAGTCTCTGACTGCTGGTTCGAGCCATTTGGGGCGATGTAGACTAGGTGGTTGGAGTCCGCAGGACAAGAGGAACCAGTGACTGGAGACTCTAGGGGATATGGCTCAGAACCGATGTCAGTGGCGCAGATTTTTATAAACATTATCCTCATCTTAACACTATACCGATCCTCACCATTTTGTGATTCTTTTTTTCTTTCTTCTCATACTTTATATTTCATTTGACTGAATTTTCTTATCTTCATCTTGCACCTCACTATCTTTCTACTTGATATACTGATATGAGCTGTTTCAACTCGGACCATTAGGCAGTAAGACCTGGTCCTATGTTGACATTGATGATGATGAATACACTATCTGGTTGGTAAGCAGCAATATCATCGTCAAACTTAATATTCGTATTTTTCATGATAAAAAACAGTGGAAGGCAAAACATTTAGAACTTACCATATTTTCCTGATCCTAAAATTTGAAAAAGACATATATAGGATGTTGTGTGCAGAAGCAAACTCAAAAAAAATTTCTAAAGTGAGGTTATTAACTAGTGACAAATAAAATACCATATATTACTTTTTACAATGGTGAAAATATATTATTACACTTTAACACTGTAAAGAATATTCATGCATGAGGCTATTAACCATAACATATAGTGTCTAAGAGATTGAGGTAATAAATAATAATAATAATTTGATTTCCAAACTGTGGCACCACGGTGGTGTGTCCACCACTAAACAATAAATTGCAGTATGTGTTACACATGTCCAACCATCGTCTGCCTCATTACACAATGTTAGCCAAAGTAGGTTTAGGGTGGTAAAAAGGCTCAGCGAGGCCAGACTAAAACATGGCATCAATACATGAAGACCTTGATTGTTGGTTTGAACCATGTAGAGCGATACAGATCCGGATTTTCAATGCTAGTGTCATGTCAGTGCTTCTGTATGGTTTAGAGACTTGGCGCGCCACGAAAAGCATTTCCAACAAACTATACACATTCATTAACAGCTGCTGCCTACGCCTACTCGATACTGAAGATCAGATGGCCAGAATAATAAGAATAGGCAACAAGGAACTCTGGCTGGTAACGAACCACCCAAGAACCCACCGCCCAACAAATATGCAGAAGAAATTGGAGATGGATTGGATATACACTAAGACCATTTGAGCACATCACGCGCCAGGCCAGGCCCTCGAGTGGAACTCAAATGGAAAAAGACGAGTTGGGCGCCGGTGTCGAGGGTGACATGGAGGAGATCATGTGAGGAAGAAATGAAAGCTTGTATGCAGTCATGGAGCTAGGTTGAGCCAGACTGCAGAGAAGAGAGTGCAATGGAAACGTGCTACTGAAGCCCTATGTTCCACTAGGAACCCAAGGGACAAATAATAACAATAATAATAATGATAATAATAATAATAGGGCGATGCAGACTAGCCGGATGGGGTCCATGGGACAAGAGAAACCAGTGGTTAGAAAATAGGTCATACGGCTCAGAAGTGATGTCAGTGGTGCAGATGTATACACACATTATCCTCATCTTAACCGCAATACTTAGTCTCATCATCTTCTCATTCCTCTTTCCTCTCTTTTACTACTTTCTACTTCTATTTCCTTTGACCTACTTTTCTTTCCTTCTTCATCTTCCTTTTTATTGCCTAGTTACTTGATGTGTTGATATGAGGTGTGGCAACTTAGACCGTTACACAGTAATGCCTGGTCCTATGTTGATCTTGATGATGAATAAATTGGAGTGAATAAGTGTATGTTGCCTTCAAATAAAAATCTACTTTTGATAAAAGAATGAGAAATTTACGATAAATGTCGAATCTGTGGACAAAGTGGTGTTGTATCATGTAGTCTAGAACCATATGTCTGTGTAATTTGATCTATATGGCATTACTATTCTCTTGTCAGTCAATGTTTTACAGCAACCTGAAAGACAAACTTTCGCATCTGACCACTTCTATGTGCGTATATCAATTCATCTGCTCTTGTATATAGGTTATTCAATACAACTATTATCTAAAACGGTTCAGGGATATTATTCTCCGTGGTCACAGAGAGGTAACAGTGGGTCGATAAGTGCTACAACTGAGCATGGTGTGAACATGGGCCACCCTAACTCAAGAACCTTTTCATTCAAAATCATTTGTAAAGTGAAAAGAAACCCTCCAAAGGCTGTGTATGTTTCCATATTCTCTGTGTCACTGAAGCTGTTGCCATTTACATGGAAAAACCTAAGCGGTGTATGCAAAAGGGAAAATTTTCAGCTTCTTCTCCTTTCATGGTCTTAATTTTCAGTCCTTGAAATCGTCTCTTTCTTTCTACAGTGTTCACTTCTTACGAAATTGACCATTTATTCTCGTTTCCATGCTCTTTCTGACCACACTTGTGGTACTAAGAAACTTCCTATCTAAACTTAGTAATCTGTTAGCAACTTCAGTCATATTTTGGCAAAACTTTATTACTGGCCACAGTTTTTGGCTTTAATGATAACTCATGTATTAACACGGATTTCGTCACCGTGTTTGACCAACCTCTTTTAACTATCGAACCCTAACATATAAAAAAACGCATAAATCAGTTGAAATAAGACTGCTGAAATACTGTTCCTTCTTATACCTGAAATATGCATAACATCGTCTAGCAATTGCAGCTTATTAACAATTGTAATGCCTCAGTAAAACATTCGGACCTATTTACAAAAAGGAAAATCAATCAGTGGGTCATGATTTTGAACCTTGAACTTGTATTTCATACACTGGATTTCTGTCCAGATATACTTCTGGAATGGTTAAGTCATTTCATAAATGCAGGAGAAAAAACGGTGACAAATAATGAAAACAAGTATGCAATTAACTGTATTCCAAATGAAACTGATGTCATCTGTAAAGAATTATAGGAGTTGTTGATTTCTGCTGTATTTAAGACAAATGGATTCACAGTATTCGATGTGCATAATACGTGTATTAAAAAGTATAATGCAAATGGAAAGAGAATGAGAACGTTTTTGCTTAGATAATTTACGAAAATTTCATTCATGACTGATACAATGTACAAGTAGTAGTGTAGAGAGATATATAAAAAAAAATAGGACCTTAAATATCTCAGTTATTAGCCATAGTTGTAACATTCATATCAACGTAAAAGACAAAACATCAGCAGCAGTAAAACACCATAAGACAGATAATAAAGACACGTAATATTACGGTTTAGCAGAAGATGAAGTGTAGATGAATCTGCGCTACTAAGATAGATTTTGACCCATATCCTGCAGCATTTCAGTTGTCTAGTGGAGCAGGATATATTTCCTGGGTGCTGTCTTCGCAGTCACATGATCTCAAACACCTTATGATTAACAGAGTCAAACTTCGCATTTAAATCATGAAACATGATGTATCAGGTACCAGCAAACATTTTTATGTTCCAGAAACCCTTAGTCATTAATCATTAGCCTCCACTGTGTTGGCATAGCTCCTTATGACGTTGTGAATATTGTTAGGGATATTCGATGACGTTACTCAAAGCCACTTACAGAGCTGCGAATGTGTATATTTCGTTTCTCGTACCAACAAACTTTTATTCAACACTGTCATTACCAAACTACCGGTAGTCGTCGCGTATTAATGAGTATTTTATCAAATCCAATGAATGATGTAACCAATTTATCCCATGTTTCGTCGAAAGCAAACCTAATCCTCTCGTTTCATCGTTAAAAAATAACTATAAATCTCATCTTCGGAAATATACCAACCATGTGAAGTTGTTATTCATCGTAAACTGACATCAGTTGGAGGAACAAAGGAAACCTGGGAGCACTGGATAGCTGTTTCGTCCTAGTATGGGACTCCTCAGCAGTGACCCCTCAATCATGAGAATTCAGCCCTTTTGATTACCTGCCATCCATTTTCATGTAAATATTATACCAATAGGTTTGATGTAACAACATACGGTTAGCGAAAAGTGATCAATCTACAAACCGAAATTATCAGTAAATAATAATCAAAGCACTAAGATCAGTGTTATTTTAGCCATACTGTCACAAACAAGAAGGTAATTTAGTCAAATCTGCTTCTCAACCAAAGTTACAAATCCATGATAATATGAACAATAGACACGAATATAAATCAACGTGGAATATCACACAATGGCATACCATAATTAAGCATCCACACTTTATGACACTATAGAAATAAAAAGATATTGATGCGAATAGTATACAGGGAAACAATAGGTTATAACGTAACGAGATATATTAAAACTTCCCACGAACATATGTGAAACTGAGTGCACGTGCATCGTAATATTCAATTCTGAGTTTCTCACTAGGGAGGGATGGGAATGGGGGGGAGAGTATTAATTCACAGTAGTCCGACAACCATTATTATAGCTAACGCATACACTCAACATGCGTGAAATTCGTTTGACGTAGAAGCCAACAGAAAAAATACTACCCCTGTTTGTCTGAATATTTTGAAATCTTCATCTGACACTACCAATAGACAGGCAATATCAACGTAGAACCTTTCACACAAGGGTAAATGTTCAATACGACATATTTCACAGCACTAGGCAAAAAACAAATAGGTAGGGAAAGACTGATATCAGAATAGGTAAACATGTATGGGGGGAGAGAGAGAGAGTGAATTCACCAGCGCCTTTGGGACCAATTTTCAGCTATGTAAACAAAGGTCTCTAACCAATGATTTCTATTATCTTGAAGACTCTAACCAGGCAGTGTACGCTCGCCAACGTTGGTCAGATAGATAGTCAGAGGCCATCAATAAATGATACAGTGAGTAACGTTTTGTTTCGCGCATTATATCACAGTACATCAGTAAATGGAGTACTTAGAGAACTAATCGAAATGACGCAGATTTTACTCAATGATAAAGCTTTTGTCACTTGGTTTTTTTAGTATTTTAGTGATTTCACAGCTGACAATGAAGCCACGGAGAATAAATACGCAACCTGAAGTGGCAATAACGCAATAATGTATAAGTTTTCATCTCGGTCTACTTTATACGGCTTACATGCATAAAATATTTATAGAGTTTACCGGCATCGAGTAGATTACGCAATGCAGTTTGAAAATGTTGGTCTTTATGGGAAATTATGGTTTAATATGGCAGTTGAACCTCATCTAATCATGTTAATCTCACTTTAAGGTGTGTATTTTGCGAGAAGAATAATTTGATTCTATGTATCACTAGACCGCTTAAGTAACTAGTAAGAACGTATGGATAGAATAAATGGGCCCTCCAAGATTTCGATCACTTACACCTGAACGGTAAATACTGTTGGTTACAGTGGTTAATTTACAAGCACTCATACCAGCCAGTATTATATACAGAACAACAACAATGGGAAAACTGAAAAGTAACCACTATCTTCAAAACACACACAAGTTCTAAAACGAATGTACTTTGCTATGGTATCCCAAAAATCAACAAAATAACATGAATTAAAATACAGAGAATTATGTGTATATAGACTAACCATCAACTCTTTTACGAAATGCAATGTATGAAGCCCAGTCATCTTTATGATATAAATCTAATAATTGGCGTAAATCTGCAAAAATCAACCACAAGGTAGAACGATCAAGACCTGGAACCGGTTGTGAACGAGCAAATGACTCACACAGAGATAAATCAATACTCAATTGTTGAAGACCTGTCTCATTAAGAGAACGAACCTAAAAAATTAGAGCAAAAATTGAAATAGATTAAGCTGGACAGGCTATGAGACACACTTACTGTACAAAGGATAATGATACTACTGGGTTGAAGTTCGTTTGAAAACCAACAAAAGCCACTAAGCTCTTATGTATATTAAATAAAAGTTTTGAAAACTAACTAAATACTACTCAAGTTACGTGTTACATAGTTTTAACTGATCAAATGTTTAACGAAAATACATACCTGTACCATTTTTCTCTCTCTAACTTACATTATCCGTATATTAAATACATATGGATGTAAAATATTACCCTGAGAAGCTCCTTCGTCTGCTGTATAAATGACATTTGTATGTTGTCAGTAAAACAGGATGAGAACTATGAACTGATCAAAACAGAAGTGCTTCCGAAGAAAAAGAGGTTCCAAAATACCTAACGTTGCTAAACATATGGCGAATAGCCAGGAAACAACTGGCTAAGATAATCTACAAGTATGTTTAGCCTAAAAAGTAAAATAACTATTTGGTAGGTAAACAATACACTTAAATCTTAGGGCGCTTTTAAATAAATGATGATGGCTTGACAGTATTTTGTAAATACTTTCTACGGTTAAGCAAGAATCAAGTCCTTCAAAATATCAATAATTGCATCGAGTTAAACGATAAGGTTTTTAGGAAAATCGAGTAATAAACTCTGAGACCGACCAGTTTATTGGGTACGTGATAGAAAGCTGAGAACTAGCATTTCAAAAAACAAGAATTTTAAATAATGGTAAAATTGTATTGAAATTTACTAACCGGGTACACTTTTATGTACTAGTCTGTGTGCCAAACCTAAATTGTCTAGATTTGTTGCACTGGTTACCTCTGCAAACCGATTTAACTTATCAGTTGGTTTCAACACTACATCTGACATTACTGTGCAACTGTTCAAGTTGCTGCAACCCTGAATCAGTACATCAAGATACAAGGCTACAAGTAGTGTAACAGAAATTATGAAATTAAAAGTTGCAAAAAGCCATAAACAGATAAGAAGTTAGAAACTTCATGAAGTGATGCCACTTTTTAGTCTTGCCAAACGTAGCTAAGTCAGCAATCAGATTTCAGACTAACGCTATGGTTGGCGCAAAATTAGCAAAAGCCAAGACAGCCTTTTTTATACGTGGTGAGATTTTGTCCACTGTTGACCAACTAGGGTTGATCCGACTTCCCACGAAAATAAAATGGTGAACGAGCTCAAGTACTTCACTTTTCAGTGTCTGCCAAGGTATGAGTGAAGACTAGTCCTGAAAAAGCAGTTTGAATTAGAGTGGTGAGAAACGCATCGGAAACGTTCTCAAGGTGTCCAGAAGATTCTGTACCTTGTGAGTATTTTCACCTAACACGATTGACTATGTCATATGCGCACACTCTAGGTCAACCAAAGAGTTTCCTGATACGAAGTGGATTCTTTCAAAATCACACCAAGAGGAGAACTACATAAGTAGGTCTATGTGGCAACAGTGGGATATTAATTCTTAACAGATACCAGCCAACATACGCAAGTCATTCGATATCTCACTATAATTTCTAAAGCATCTATAAGTGTTCCAATAAACCTTTCAACGAGAGATAATGACAACAAACATCGACCGGTGGAGTCGAATATTGTTTTTAGGTTTAGAAGTACAACTAATTTTGGGTGCCAACAAGTTTGCTTATATTGGAAGGTCTAGCGGAGGATAGGTGCCTAATCGACACAACTTAGGTCAGGTCTGAAACTTTTCTGGTCTTCTCAAGCCTTTTGTTCTGAGGCTCCAGTTAGGTGTCGAATTATCATAAAACCTGGAATCTGAGATACTACTTCCATCCAGTTAATTGGCGTGTGGTTTTTACTGGGATAATTAGGGACTGAGACCAGCCATAGGTCACATGTTAAGCAGCGGGTCAATGGGCCTTACTCTGGTTAGCATCCTTAAATGTCTCAGCTGCTGCTCTTCCTCTTCTCACGTTATCAACAGCCTTCCCAATTACTGAGACAGTCACAAGCGACACCTCGATGTTCTCCTCAGACTATGGCTTCATTGTGGGTAAGAGAAAGAGGTCAGTTGAACTGTTCACCAGCGTTCCACCCATCTTTCTAGTTGTCTCTTCCGGAAGTAAATCACATACCCATCTCTATTCTTCATAGTCTTACTAATCGTCAACTTCTTTCACTCCACAAAAGAGCATCCGTTCAAGTTGCCATACTTCACAGTAGCATGCAAAGAACAAGTGGGTAGAAAAATACTGATATCAGAGTAGTGGTGTGTGAGTGGAGAACCAAGTTGAAGATAAAGGTTAATGAAAATATCAAAGAGTGAATATATCTGCACCATTGTAACCGATTTTTAACCATTTCAAGTCAGACACTCTACACCTGTCTACACGGCCCAGACCACCGGTCACAGACTTCGAGGATTGATGCCACATCTTAGTATGGCCACTCTGAACTCTCTTCCAAACTAGTCCAACGTTTCCTAGTAGACGCTGGATCGGCATGCGTAACACATGTCCAAGCGGCCTCAGTCCCTAAACTTTCACAACCCCATCGACCGACTTTCCTTCCTTGAAACCGAGCTCAAATAATACCTGTTTGGGGTCAGTGACAAGCGGCTTTTGAACTTAGATTTGATAGGGCTACGTTCAGACTAGACAAATCCATAGTGAAGGGGAATTAGAGAAGTCGGGTTGGAGAATAAAACTAAAACAAGATAGGAGTTTAGACGCTAGTGTCTGCAGAAAATCTTCACATTCAAATCTTTGCCTAAATTTTAAATCATTTCACCCTGCGTCAGTTACAGTTGGCTTAACAAAATGTCTAAGTAATAGGGTAAAAAAGCTTACTAGTAAAACAGAAGAAGACAAGAAACCAGATCCACTAAAGACACCTTACCCACTAACAGTTAACCTCCCAAATTAATTGATAAGAAAATATAACTAATATTAGTAACAGGCATTAATAGTAATAATAATAACGTTAATAATGGTGGGAATGCTGTGAAGACAGAATTCAAAGCTTCCACAGTATTACCATACAAAGAAGGCACCTCAGAAGAGTCACGTACGATTCGCAATAAGGCCGGAATTAGAGTGGCATTTAAACCTAAAAACTAACCTAGAAATAAGTTTCGTAGGTTAAAAGATCCCACTGATCCAATTAAGCAGAATAACTTAGTTTACCAAATCCCCTGCAACTATTGCAAGGTCAAATACATGGGTCAATGTTGTCGACCAGGGTCAGTTAGGCTATCCGAGCATAAAAACCTAGGAAGATCAAAATTAGTAGATCCTAGTAAGGTAAGGAATTTCAGAAAAAGCACAGTCATAGCTATCCATGCGATTACGCAACCATACAATAGGATGGGACAGGGAGAAAATCCTTAAAACTAATATAGTAGGATGAAGGGAGAGGTCGATAACCGGATCTTTGTTTATGGAGTCAACACTTAATACATGCAACAGGAATGACTCAGCACCTGTTCCGGATATATGGAAGATCTTACTACCCATCTCATAAAAGAGGGCGAGGAAATTAGGATCATATAAAGGATATCTCAAAGTTGTGTAGTTATCTTGATACGACTGTGGACAATAAATTATGTTCTAAGCGTAAGTCAGTAAACAATACTGTTATCCTGTGTGGTAAATTTAATAAACCAATAAAAATGGAATTACATTCTGCCATAGTGCACAAGTTTTACTCTAACATCACCTGCTTTAATTAGTTCAAAATTAGGTTATATCAACAGTTAGACTGAAACATAACATATATAAATATCTTTACAAGCTTACTTGAGAACCAAACAACACGTCATACAATAAACGTGCAATATGCTTGCAAACAGATATACAAGCTGTTTGAGTTATCTTTGGCGGCAGGTTAGCAAATGAATCAAATACTGATTTTAACCATGATGTTAAATCGACAATATTCTCAGTTGGTTTAGCTTGCACACTAGTTACATAACTTATACCATTACGCCCGTCAACTGTATGACAAGGTTGATCATTACTTTGATTATTACTAGTAATGTTGTTATCATCTATGTCATCATAATTGCTTAAATTGATAAATTCTGCAACACTATCCTTCAGATGATTACATATTTGATCTTCAACTAATGCACGTATATCTTTAAGAAATGATGTACCATGTAACCGACTACGCGGTGGGTTTGCTCCTGAATTTACTGTGACTGATGTAGTCATGCTTGAATCACCCTGTTCATTGTCCTGCGAAAATCAAAGTGAGAAAAAACTATAATCAAAAAGGGATAGTTAGTGAGGAAAGCACAGACAAATAAAAGAAGTTTAAAACAACTTAGTAATCATTCTGAATTCTGAGCCTACCGCTGTTCACTCTACTGGACTTCATTTATTAGTTTGTATTGCCAGATCAAGTCCATATTCGGATGTCTTTATATTATCAGAGGTTTCAATGACGTTATTTATTTGATGGCGATTAGTAATCATATCCAGGATAAACTTTACTTCGAAGTTGAGACCCAAGTCAAGGGTTTATCAGCTTACACGCAACACCATCATTTACTGAGCGATTGAGTTTCAGAAGTCAGTAGTTGTCCAACGATTGTCATTTAGGGTCTTAACAAACTGAGCGGACAGGTCACTGTAGCCTAGTGATGTCTGAACAGATGGCTTTTGGGTTATTACTTCAGAGAAAACTAACACACGGAGATTAAAAAAGTAGCCAATCAACAAGTCCAAAACAGAAGTCCTTGACAAGGGGTTTCAATACTGGTTACAGCTTTACAGTTTTTCGTCACTTAGTGAGTGTGATACTCAGTGTTTTGCAACAGCATACATTATAGAAGTAACAAAAGATTAAAAGAAATATGAGAGGTGTAAAAAAAATTACATAACGAGAGAATGGTTGGATAGTAGCGAATCTGAATACCACACCTTTGACAGAAACCAACTGAAGATCAGTTTAATTACTGCACTTCCATGCACTGAAAATGAAGCATTTCACATTGTCTTATTCACATAACTTTTTATAGGTCCGTAGTGCAAGTGCAGTCAACTGTATGATAGCAAACCATTTATTATCCCTGATTACATACTACTTGTGTCAACAAACATCATTGTGTTATGTTGCAACGATTGTGAAAGTAAATTTGGATCATTACTTAAATACTAGAGAATCGGGATAAAATCTTCAGTTCGTTTCATCAGGCGATATTAATTTACAGGTTATGTTAACCAGTAGTTATATGACATGCTATGTAATAAATAGAATAACTAGATGTAATTGTTTGAGGTTTATTCAAGGATCGTTTTACGCATTGTTTCTGAGTGAAAGTCATAGTCTGCCATTAAATAGTACTTTACATTTATTGGGTCTTTTTTGATTGATCGTAATGGACTGAGTAACCTCGCCTGGTTAACTAGTTCATTGGTTACCTACGGTCCTAAGCTCGGGTGAAGAGGGACGGTTGGGCATACGGCTAGCAACCCTAACCCGGAAAACCAATCCAACCCCTAAAGATACTTCAAAGCACAAACAAAATATAAAACATAAAAACAAACTTGTTCCTCGCTGGAATCGGAGAGACGAAATGATGCCGGTTGATGAAAGCCGGCCTTCGCGAAGCCAATTGGTCCATGTGTCTTCTCTCCCTCGATGAAAGCGAAAGTAAACGTGGGGACATGGAATATCCACACCATGTTTGAACCTAGCAAGGCTGACCAGATTGCAAATGAGAAGAGAAGGTACAGTATTGAAGTTCTAGGAATCTGCGAAAGCAGATGGAGTCGAAGTGGACCATTCCAGCTGTTAACTGGAGAGTCAGTAATCTACTCCGATACTGTCACCCAGACGACAACCATGAGCACACTGAGTTATGCAGTGGCTATCATGATGTACTCAACAGCATCGAAGGCTCTCATGCAATTGGAACCAATCTCCTCCTGAAGGATAATCACAGCAAAACTCAACTCAAAACGAAGGAAGGTCACAATCATACAATGTTACACCACGCACCAACAAATAATGCACATGCACACCAAGAGAAAGACGAATTCTATAGACAACCGCAATCAACACCAGACATCAGCCCTCCCAAGTTGGTGACATCAAAATTCTATTGAGTGACAAGAATACCAAACTCGGAGCGGAAAAAACAGGAAGAGAACTCACCACGAGTTGAGAGGTGCTCGGTGAGGTGATGAAGGACAATAGAGAATTCTTTGAAAAATTATGTGTATTCAACGATTTGGTGATTGAAGGCAGTGTGTACAAACACAAGGATATCCACAAAACGATATGGATTTCACCAGACACCAGGACACACTAAAAATCAGATCGACTTTATCTCAGTTTCAAGAAAGTCGGGACGTAGCCCACTTGACATAAGATCAAGAAGGGGAGCAGATGTAGGTTCAGACCACTCACTATCTAGTGAAAGGAACCTTCCAAATCAAGTCGAAAGCCTTCAAGAAAGTTGGTGGTGATAGACCACAGTTCAAGTTCAACACCCAGAACACAATTTGAAGGACGAAACTACAAAGGAAATCCTCACGTCAGCCATCAAGACAAAATGGGAGATATTGAGCAACATCCCTGGAGACACCTGTGCGGATGAACACTGGAAGTCTTTGAAAGAGATATGGAAAGAAACTCGCACAACCGTATTAGGAAGGAAGAAGAGAGAAGATCAGGAATGGATCTCTATGGACACATGGAAACTGATAGAGGAGAGGGGGGTGGTGAAGCAGAAGATAAACCAGTGCAAGGATGAACGACGAGGACAGGAACTGAGTACAGTGTATAAAACACTGGACAAAGAAGTGAAGAGGAGTGCACACAAAGACAAAAGACACTCCTACGAAACACTGGCAAGTGAAGCAGAACAGGCTGCAGGTAAGAGAGACCTGACAACATTATATCAAATAACCAGTTTACTATCTGGGAAGAGATCAACGCAGATGAAATCAATAAATGATGAAGAAAATCTAGTTACCAAAGCGAAGAAACAACGGAAACGATGGGCTGACCACTTCAAAAAAATCTTGAATCGACCACCACGAACACCACCTGCACTTCGTCCAGAAATACCATCAGCAACCCAACCACAGAATCATCAGTGAACACAAGCCCTCCAACGAAAGTCAAAGTCCTGAACGCTATAAGGCTGTTGAAATGCAGGAAAGCAGCAAGGCCGGATGGAATCCCGCCAGAAGCACTGAGAACAGATGCAGGAACAACAGTAGACATGCTCACACCACTATTGCAGAAGGTAAGGAAGGAAGGAAAAGTACCTGCCAGATGATTGGAAGAAAGGCTGCCTTGTCAAACTTCCAAAGAAGGGAGACCTAAATGTTTGCAAGAACTGGTGAGGAATCATGCCCCACTCCTGTCCACCCCAAGCAAAGTATTAAGCCGCATCATCCTAGAGAGACTAAAGCGTGCGCTGGATTCAAAACTACGACCCGAACAGGCAGGCTCGATTCAGGAAGAACAAATCATGTGCAGACCAAATTGCAAACGATATGCATCATCATAGAACACAGCATAGAATGACAGTCAACTCTCTGCCTCAACTTCATCGATTTTGAAAAGGCCTTCGACAGCGTCGACCGAGAGGTAATTTGGAAACTGCTTCAATACTACGGAATACCGCAAACCCTTATCAATCTCATTCAACAACTATATGAAGACGCTACATACCCAGTAATTCACAATGGGAAGCTCAGTGATGCCTTTGAAGTGTAGAAAGGAGTGAGACAAGGCTGCTACCTACTATGACCGATGATCTTCCTGATTGTGGTGGACTGGATCATGCAGCAAACAGTGAGTAGCGAGAAGAGGGGCATATCCTGGCTGGACCGGGAAAAAGATCTTAGAAGATTCGAATTTCGCCGACAATTTATGTTTAGTGTAGCACAAACTTGAAGATCTATAGGCAAAATCCAACAAGTTGACAGAACAGGCAGCGAAGATGGGACTTTAAGTGAACGTAGAGAAGACAGAGGTGATGATGGTACCCAATCAACGCCAACGCCACCAACAACAAACACCAATCACCATTAACGGGAGAAACTTAAAGAAAGTAGTCTCTTTCATTTATCTAGGCAGCACCGTTTCAACTACAGACGGCACAGAGGAGGACGTCAAAGCAGCTAGGATCGGAAAGACAGACAGACAGGCCTTTATTAATCTGAAACCAGTGTGGAGATCTACTGCACTCAGCATGAAGAACAAGTTCCGGATTTTCAACACCAACGTTAAGTCAGTGCTGCTCTATGGCTCAGAAACTAGGCGCGTTACGGTAGGCATTTTCAACAAACTACAGATATTCATCAACAACTGCCTACGCTGGCTTGTTACTGAAGATCAGATGGCCAGAATAATAAGAATAAGCAACAAGGAACTCTGACTGGCAACGAACCACCCAAGAACCCACCGCCCAACAAATATGCAGAAAAAAATGGAGATGGATTGGGCATACACTGAGAAGGCCGACTGGGGACATCACGCGCCAGGTCAGGCCCTCGAGTGGAACCCAGATGGGAAACGACGAGCCGGACGTAAGAGGTTGACATGGAAGAGATCGTGTGAGGAAGAAATGAGAGCTTGTGGGCTGTCGTGGAGCCAGGTTCAAAAGATTGCAGAGAACAGAGTGGAATGGAGACGTGACACTGAAGCCCTATGTTCCACTAGGAACACAAGGGACAAATAATAATAAAATAATAAATGGACTGAGTTACATATTGATGTCGTAGGTGGGATCTGGCTCGCTCATGGTCAGACCGACGCGCACTCAATAGCAACCATCCACTCAAATGTAACTCGCACTAGCCTCACATACCATATCTAGCCTCTAAATCACTCAGGTACAACCAAGCACTGAGGACAGTGACTCCAAAGAAGAGGGAGTAGTATAACGCATTCGAAATCAAACTCATTCTCTTTCAGTTTCGACTTATAGACTGCTTCACTTCTTCATTGTCCAGCTCTACCGTTTATCCGTTATCGTTTATCAATAAGTGTCAGTACATTCTGTGTACTTGCTGAGTCATCGGCTCACCTTTTTTTTCTCCCTCTTTTCCCTTCCAGATTCTAAGGGCCACCACTAAATTCGCACTGTTCTACGCGCCCCATGCAACAACGTACCTATCTACAGGCTAGACGGAAACGTATCAACAGCTGGTCGCTACGTATCGAATAGTAATATACCATTTCCGAAGTCAATCTTTATAAGCTTTATGTTTTGAAGCATCGAATAGGTGTATACCAGCATAGCAGACAGTATACAGAGTCATTCCAGTAACGTAAATTTTCTAATGCTAACAAATACAAGGATGTATAGAAAAGCCATCCATTCTTTTTAACAATACAGAGACACTATGCAAAGTAGTTAAATTACAAGGTACCCCTAATTTCGAACATAGATAGTTATGAACCTTCATCATATTATCCGCTTGGCTTTACATATCTGTTATTTGACAGCGCAGTATACAATACAGCAGCACATCATCCTACTACCAAATACCTTAATGTTGTAGTAGCAAAAGAGAGTAATAAAGAAATTTTAGTGAGAGTAAAAAAACTTTCCAATTAGTCTTCTATTATCTGTAAGGTGAAAGCGATAGTAGCGTTTAGCGTACACAGAATTAAACTGCTTAACTTTCAAATACAAATTCCAAGGTGAACTAACAAGTCTACAGATTTTTAAACTTTTACAAAAGTAATGATAAATATTAATGCAAACGAAATCGGTACAGACTATGAAACACACTTATGTGAAGGCGTATGAAAACACTCGGATGCTGAAGCCAAAGTAGATGCAGTGACGTTCCAACTTAGGGTCTATTGCTTAAAAGTTAAGCCTAGGTTGGTATTCATCATAGACTGACATCAGTTGGAGAACCATTAGAAAGCTAGGAGTACTGAACAGCTGGCCGGGTTGGGCGTGACACCTGGAGGTCCTGGGTTAGATCCCTAGAGGGTCATGGGTGTGCACTGCTGAAGAGTCCTTCCCATACTAGGACGAAACAGTTTTCCACTGGGTTTCTGACTGATGTTATTATAAGATGAATATAAACCAGAGGTTAACAGATCCCCATGACAGACCTCAAAATTAAAAGTTAAATGCATAAGTCAATAAGCATTTACACAGTTCAGATGTGATGCAACCACAAAGCATTACATTATTTCATGATATCACAGACTGCATTTTCAAACAATGTGGCATTTCACAGATTGATAGAATCAGGTAAGCAGGAACACTCAACTACATGAGACAATGCTGATTTGCAGTTTACACTCAGTAATTTCTTCTATTCAACGTTTTTTTTACTAACTTTCTAAGTGATGCATTTACTTTCTTCCAACTAAGTACCGTGAAAATAAAATGAGAAATAATAGCATAGAAAAATGACTAAAAGGAACTACATAACGGCTTAAATATTAGTAGTATATAATCTAAGTAACCAAACTATGCTACACTTCTTATTAAATAGGTGGTTCGTTTACCCCCGATTGGCAATCTCTTTCCTTTTAACGAAGAAAATGTCAATAAGGCTTTAAAAAGACTGAAAAGCTAAGTATGATACACTAATAAGGCGCATTTCAGCATTTTGAAATTAGGTATGTAAATGTTACATTCAATATAAAACATTTGCCATACGATTTCTTCTGTTACTTGAATTAGGGAGTGTATTACTTTAACCCATCAGTTAGAATTATGAGTTCGACGTATTATGTGCTAGAGAATGAAAATATAGATTGTACTAGTTAAAGTCAGTAAAAGTTGTTCTTGTATTATCCCGCCGCTGATTGGATTGAATTGATCGATCTCCATTGGTATATGGGCTCCTGCGCGGTTGCCTCAATATTGCTGATGTTTAAATTATATATTAACAACAATGGATAGTGGTTAGCAGCGGAATTTAAAACGCGCACTTCGTCCTTTTCTGGACTCGTCAACTGAATGTACCTGCCTAACAGTGAGTGATGTTGTTCCAACTAGGAACCGAACTCAGGACATATCGCTTCAAACGCCACAGCGTTTTACACAGGCCACCGAGTCACGATAGCCACCTTTTGTGCAATGGGAATAGCTTTTGTGTTATTCCTTGGATAATGCTCCGGCGTTTGAAGCGATCGATCTCGAGTTCGAGTCCCGGTGGAAACAACATCATCCACTGGAAGGCAGGTACATCCTCTGACGAGTCCCAAACAAAACGAAACGCACGTCTTGGATCCCACTAGTAGCCACTATCCATCATTAATAAAGTTTAATCGTCTACTGATTCCATTACAGAATTTCTACGGTGGAATTGTTTTGCTAGGTGGGAAACGTGTAATGAGAAAAACAGTGTATGCACCATCTTTCTTTCAACTTAAAACGTTACTAACTTTAAACATGTTTTCAAAGATTGCCATACAAAGATTTCAAGTAACCATCAGGAAGCTATACACTCAGGTTTGATGATAACCAGCATAATTTAGTTAGGTGCATTTGCCATCTCAAGGGGGATGAAAGATCCTTACAAATACGAACCAAATTCTGTCAACACTGAAATAAGAAATATTACACAAACGAACTATATTCGGTAGATGAGTAAATCTCAGCATTGGTTTAAAAATAGGACAACGTCTAGCATTTCCTCCAGTGTCATGATTTAGGAGTTCACTACAGTAAACTTTCTGATATGTGATGCAAGCTACACTAACTAACGAATACACAATACACATATAACAAGTGGAGACTAACTAGTCTAGTAAACAGGAGGAATCACTTTTTTCGATTGTTACAAAAAACTCATGCAATAATCATTGAAACAGAATTCCCGTACAGTAAAGATGCAAATAACCATTGCTAAAATGGTTTCAACAATGGCACAGAAACTGAAAAGCAGAAAAGTGTATTTAAACACCAAGTTGGACCTTGAAAGTTGCTTCTAAAAAGGGCGCTACTTTGATAACTAAGGTTTTAGCAAGATCACACGGCAAGTGTAGTTTATTGTCTACCACAAGAAACAACATAGTTTATTATTTGTATTAAATCAGTTAAACATACAACCATACAAACATAAAGAAGTAAAGAAACCCGAAAAGAAACATTCTGATGAAATACACTTACTTTAGATATTGTGAAGTCTTTTATCCGACCAGAAGCATCATCTAAGACATTGTATTGAAGATAATTATCCAAATGCCCACATACTGTTTCTAGTTCGTCCAAATTTATACAGAATTGTGTAAGATGAGATAACTGCTGCGAATATGATCGGATACCGGATGTTAATACAACATTCAGGCATTGAGTGAAGAGGAAATTTGTGGCACGATTGATTGTATCTTCAAGTTCCGTGTATGCAAGATTCATATTTTCACAAAATCGATGGCATAAATCAATATACTCACGTACTGTTTGATAAATTTTAGGTACCATCCATGAAAAACACAACTGACGAGGATAAGGGAGTTCTGAGAATTCAACTGTGTCACCCGGTGGGTATATCTCAAGGAATTTGGCTAACTCTTCTGGATCCGAAATCTTAATAGGTTCGTAACTGTCTTCCGAAATTATAGCTTCAAACCTGTTTTAAAATAGCGAAATTTATCACAATATGCCATAAAGAAGTGCGCCAAACAATTTGAAATGATAGTGATATAAATACATTGGACCGTTTTGTCTATCGTTTTGTCAGGTTTCATCAACAAATGTTAATCTGATATAAGTATCCTCCATCCTATAATACCAAATCAACAGTGGATTTCATATCCATTTTTCCGCTCAAAAATAATGGTCACGATGTTAGTAACTAGGAATGTGATTTAAATCAGCATATAGGTGTACAGGCTAATTTACTAAGCTACTAACCATACCTGACACACGGGAACTTAGAGTTACTTACATAGCCCTTCTGCCAAATACATGTGGTCCTACTGACAGAGTGATCACATATAGAGACATACCTCGGAATAATCAAGTTTCATAAGCACAGTTTAGAACTATTCGGGTCGAAATATTTGAAACTAGATATTTTATAACCAGATGAAAAATACAACAGAGGCAAGTTTGTCTAAAATCTAGATTCATCACTTTATTAATTTTTAGATAAATATTAACTTCATCTAACATCTATCCTTGTCAGAATTCGCAGAATGTAACTCTTTAACTTAGTAATCCACTTTCAACTAATGGGCGCTGGGTTTAAACCTCGCTCAACCCACTTCAAGTAGTATTATAAGCTCTCAAAAAACAAATATGGTTCTTAGTCTAGGAGAAAAGATGTACCAACTTGAGTAATATTGCTTCATTACTGATATGTTTGTTCACAAAATGACCAAAATACATAAACTTCATGTTAGTTTTCGTACATTCATGGTTACAGGTGAGTGGAGGCAAACTTCTAGCAATCCAGAAAAAGTGCAGTACATATTGCTTGTGAATAGCAGACATAATACCTACAGGTACTTACTCTTTAAGGAGTTTCCCAAATTAAATTTGTGTACTACATTAGTAGTTTTCTGAACTATAGAGGACCAGTTAAAGAAAATATAGTAAGGAAAATGAAAAAAAGTACAAAGATCTTAACTCACTTGGATTTCCATTGACTAGCCAACAGTCGATGATAGTATCTTTGAACAATACCTATTGTTTCTGATAGACCAGATACAGGAAAGCCTAAATTCTCCATAGTTCTTTCAAATATAATTAAATAATCTTTGAGTTTAATTAAATCATTTGGTGATTTACATGATTTAGCATTAACATGTACAAAATCCACTAAACGATTCACTGTATGCACCCATAATTCATCTAAATACGTTTGATAAAATGCTGAGGAACCGGATAGTGTATGTCGAATAAAATCATCCACAACAAAAAATCCACAAATAGAACTGAAAAATTCACCATAATTACGCATTTCAACCTGTTATTCAGTATATGATAATGAAAAAGAAAAATAATAAATGAAAATTAAAAAAAAAATACACAGTGTAAGCAAGATCAAATAACTAGACAAACAATACAATTATAATACCTACAGCTCTCTCTGATTCTGAGATAGCGCTTCAAAGGAAAGGAGACAATAAAGTATACTTTAATTTATCATTATGTTTATTTTAAATGGTATATCACGCATAAGTTATGATAAACAGTTCGATGGTAACGTTTATGCGACAAAAGCTGACAGTCCCGAATTCAATCTCATATGCAGTCACGAGTGAGTACTGCTGAGGAATTCACAGCTAGAATAGAACAGGTGTCAAGTGCTTTCCGTCAATGGATTTGCAAATAGTTCCAATCTGCGATGAAAACCAATTTGCAACCGTTTTTAAATAGTACAAAGAGGTATAAGTAAGAAGTTGAAGAATCGACGAGAAATCCTGAAGAAATTAGAAGCAGTTACTTCAAACATTTACGTCAAGTGCAACAAAGCTAAAAGGTGCACAAAAATGTACAAGAGTTATTTTCGCTTTATAGTGAGTGATATGACGGCATTAAGATAGCTATTGTAGTGGGTGTTGCTGATCACAGTGGATATAAGTAGTATATGTTGAGAGGGTGGCAGAAATCATAAGGAATTACCAACAATGGGTAAGCATTCTGCCCAGAGAAACGCAAGAGACAACGCAAGCGTATTCAGAAAAAATCAAGATAGAAGCAGAAGAGGAAATGAAGCATATTATGCAAATGACTGTCTTAGCGCAAGGTTTATCATATTCGATGTCTACTGTACCGGATGTTAATAATAAATATTCCTTCCGTCGTCTTTGTCTTCTGGATCCCTTCAATTGTTTTCTTTTATCGAAGGAAGGGATATTTATTGTTAACATCCGGTACAGTAGACATCAAATATGATAAACCTTACGCTAAGACAGTCATTTGCATAATATGCTTCATTTCCTCTTCTGCTTCTATCTTGATTTTTTCTGAATACGCTTGCGTTGTCTCTTGCGTTTCTCTGGGCAGAATGCTTACCCATTGTTGGTAATTCCTTATGATTTCTGCCACCCTCTCAACATATACTACTTATATCCACTGTGATCAGCAACGCTTACTACACAATAATCTACAGTATAAATTCAAAACCATTAATACTCTGAGTCTCTGTTTCGCCATGGTATGGTGAAATGTATATCCTACTTTTTTGTGATGGAGGTAAGTACTTGTAGTTCGAGTTGAGGATGGTCCTTTTCAAAGTTACATTTCCATGGAGTACGATTTCATTGTTAGTTTAAAGGTCTTTCATAACCACATCACGGGATAGTGAATCGGTAAATTATTCATCATCAATAATACTGATAAAAGCTATTGAACTAAAAACAGTGTGAGTGCTTAACTTGTTGTATGCAGTCAACAAGATGATTCCTAAAGAGACTACATCAAGGTGAAAAAAGAACGAAACGATTCGAATTTAGTTCGTTGAACACACCACCATCTCCCGAGTATGGCAGAACCATCATGTGAGCAATGTAGGGAGGGATACGGCGTAAGATGTAAGTCAGTTGATTCAGACGTAAGGCTTCACCAACTGAGATGAACATATGTTATGCAAACCAACTTATCGTCTACCCTAGCTGAGAAGAAAGCTAAGGTACGATGATGCTGAAAGAAAGCTGACGTTGGTTAGGTCAAAATATGGCACCAATCTATGAAGTTCACCACTTAGTCAGAGTCATGTTGGAGAATGTAGCCCTCCTGGTTGAGATCTTCTAGAAAAGTGGTTCAAAAACAATCGTATCAGTAGGGAAGCACTCGTAACCTATCGTAACCGTTTTGCAACGTTTTGATGTTTACTGTATTGTCTTTCACCTGTTCTACGGCTTTCTGAAAAGTTTCATGCCTTTAGTCTTGGTAAGTCGATGTAGAGAAGTGGAAACTTGGACTGTTACACAATATAGATAGGTTGTATGCTAACATCTGACTGACTTTAGTAAGAGTCATATAAACATTACATCTCTAGTAGCTGATAGTAACTGCCAATTCTTATACATGTACGTGAAAAGCTGCCGCTCAACTAACACAGTACACCAGTGTTAAGTTACATTTTAACCAGGATAAGGAATATTTTCTCACCATTATGAAAAGTAACAATACTAATACTACTAACAATGATGATAGTATTGATAATGATCATAATAATATTAGCTACATTTGTCTGATTTATGCATACAACATTTCTACTTCCAATATTATTACAAAAAACTGTGCGGATTTAGTCGATAGATGGGTAGTTAAATGGCCATGTTCACTTCATTTATATATGTATATATATATATATATATATATATATATATATATATATATATATATATATATATATACCGTTTAACAGCAAAAGCGTCACCTTGACATAATTACAAAACTGTAAACATGTGTATGCACAAAAGATTGTAAGCCTCATGAATATGCACATCAATATTTGTAGAAGTTCGGAATGTGGAATGAAATTAGAATTTTGCTTCCATTCTAAACAAGTTATACATTTATAATACATCTAAGAAGTTTGTAAAATACATATTTATTGTGTTTGAAATCCATTCACTAACACTTTCAGACATCACCTTTTAGATATTGATTTTATACCTTGAATGAATCAATGTAAGATGATGAATGAACAGACAGAGTTTAACAGGCTTTTACAAAAGGTGATTTCAATCAAACTTTAAGTGATCTTATACACAGGCATAGTAAACAGAGATGAGAAAAAATCAGTAGAAAACAAATAAGATGTAATTCAATTTTGAAGGCTTGTGGGGACTGATTGATTTTAAGTTGGTATTCACCAGGGAACCGACAACAGTTGGAGAACCGTGGAAAACTTGGGAGCACTGCACAGTTGTTTCGCCCTTGCATAGGACTCCTTAACAGTGCGAACCCATGATCTCACCAGAGGTTGAACCCAGGACCTTCGGGTTTCGCAGCAAACGCGTTACCATTGAGCTACTCAGTAGGAACCCAATACTCAACAGTGACAGCACCTATGACCTTCACAACAGAAGTTTTGGAAGATACTGCTTTCTTCAGGAGAAGTCAACTGAAGTTTTCAATTACTGAACACTTTTACTGTCGGCGTTGAAGTCAGATGTGAATCAAAACTGCTTAGCGTAATCAGATTGTCTGAAATATTGAGTCAATCACTAGCAATTATTTAGTCTTGTACAATTTAGTACCACACACCAAGTAAAAATGAGAACCATAGTCGTTGATCAAATTGCTTACTCAAGGCAAATAATTGGAAGGCAATTATAAAGCAAAGAATACTCCAGACAGACAATGACATACAATCAATTTATAAAACCAAGTAAAATCTTGGAAAAAGGTAGTGGAGTTCAGTATTAGTTTGCCATTGTTTAAAAAAATCATTCAGTAAGTTAGTAACGTGTAAGTTTCAGTTAACCGAAAGTTAGAGTCATTCAGGCACATGAAGACGAAACAAAAAACCGCTGCAGTTGGCTGTTTCTGTGCTGAAACTAGATTGTCTTATACAAAAGTGTGATAACGAAATCCCTGTGTATGACATAATCACTTCAGATACCTGATAACCAAATTAACAGGTGTTTTTACTAATTATGTTATGACTAAACTGTTCACCCCTACTACCTCATGATGACAGTTTAGTTCATAACTTTATTAAGATTTACGTTGGATCCTTTTCACTGAGTAGCATTTTTCTTCTTACCTCCTATCATTACTAGAACATAAACGTGATACAGCAATGGCACCAAGAAATGCGCCACGCAAAACAATATAACAACATTATGAAGACAAACCGAAAGGAAGTGGATGAGAAAATAAGAACACAATAATTAGAAGGGCAGTTCGGTTCAGTAAAGTACATTCGAAACGAAACGTTTGTTACTTTTCAGTAGCAGAAGATAGGAAAACCTACAGCATGACCACCATAGGTTTCGATTCTGACTAATATCGGATAGCGTCTCAAGCCACTTAGCTGAGTGATCTCTCGCACCTCACTCAAAGAGTTGTGATGCACCAAGAAATGGTAACTCGACAGAGCTATCCCTTGTCTCACGGCGCCACGTCATACACTGACCACTCCTCCACTTTCTCCATCTAGTCACAGGGTTGGCAAACAATGAACGGTGTGGAAACCGTTGGGACGACTAGCATGAAACTTATCCAAGCCTCCGAAGCCGGTGTTTTCAGATGACTTCACTTAAGGAATGACGATCTCTATCATGCCCAAACACATGCTGTCGTACCTCAGGATTACTTAAATAGTATTGTCACTGGATACTAGCAATCCTGCGGAGACGACGATGATCGAACACAGAGTTGTCGCATATCCTCAGCTCGGAGAGGCCAGGTTTCACAGGCGTACGGATATTAAACATGGTTAAGTATATGAAAGTAAAAGAAACTAACCTGGCATCATAAGTGATGAAGCTTCTACGACTCAGTCGAACACTTAATTTATATATTTTTCAATCAGTAGCATCTACTAAAAGAAGTCACTTGCGCTAAAGATAGTACGTATCACAATGCAGGAACGTCTACGCATTATGGGTTTGCAACAGTTATAAATGACAGTTTTAACAACTCAAGTTACCAAACACAATGTAATTTTACATCAGAGAAGTAAAAATTGTATTTTACTTCATATACATATGAGTAACATTTGCCAAAATGGATGTTACTAAAAGCGTATCAAAAACTACATCGATAATTCGGAAACATGACCATTTAAATATTAGTTACGAATGCAATCCAAAAATGCGATGCAAGTGTCGATTCGGTCCACTTGGTTTTTTGGTTCAATGAGGCTCATCAACCACATACAGATTTATGCACTAACTGCATGATGGTTAGCAATATTGCCTAGCTATTCAAATCCAAGTAGGTTGAGCAGAATTCGAACCCGTGATCTACTTAGTTGCAAAAGAAATAAGCTGTATCTTTACAAAA